GGAAGGACAACAACAAGTTTACTCTTTCTGTGTCATTGCTTTTATTTGTCTCCTTTCTTCAGAATGTCAGTGTCTTTCAAGAGTCAAAAGTGTTTGTAAAAGTTAGGCTCAGTAACATTGATGTCCATAATGTAGTGCAAGACATTGCACTTAATTTACGTGGTAATGCTGGGGCTTACTGAATGTAGAAATTAGTTATTAATTATGTTTTCATGTGCAAAAAAAATAGTTTTCTTAATGTTATACCACAACTCCATCTGTTTTACTTTATAGCATTATATTTTGTAAGTCATTATGAAATGTACATAAGTAAGCAATAAGGCATAATAGGTAATGCCTGGAATTCTTGTACTTTGCAATCCTAGTCCAACTCTTGCCGGTGTCATTAATTTCCAATGTGGAATCTTAACATCAGATACCTGTTCTAAATTCATGCAGTGTCGCTTGTTCTCAGAGTAAACATATAGCTTGCACAGCCTTCTGGAAACCAGGATTCTGCAGACTAACTACTTAGACTTTAGGTTTATTTGTAACTGATGAATTTTCTAATGCCACATTCTAGTAAACATCGGATTTCACGCTGTTTCAATAGGAAGAACTATTAGGTTCTGTTGCTTACCTTGTATCTCAAGCAAGAGTATATCATCCATGTTTTCTCATAAAGAACAAGATGACTTGTGCAGAGGGATCTGGATAGACTTGAGAGATGGGCTAATTACAATGGGATGAAGTTCAATAAAGCCAAGTGCCAGGTTCTGCACTTTGGCCACAACAACCCCCTGCAGTGCTACAGGCTGGGCACAGAGTGGCTGGAGAGCAGCCAGGCAGAAAGGGACCTGGGGGTACTAATTGACAGGAAGCTCAACATGAGCCAACAGTGTGCCCAGGTGGCCAAGAAGGCCAATGGGATCTTGTCCTATATCAAAATAGCGTGGCCAGCAGGAGCAGGGAAGTGATCCTTCCCCTGTACTCTGCATTGGTGAGGCCACACCTTGAGTATTGTGTTCAGTTCTGGACCCCTCAGTTCAGGAAGGATATTGAGGTGCTGGAGCGGGTCCAGAGAAGAGCAACAAGGCTGGTGAAGGGACTGGAGCATAAGTCCTATGGGGAGAGGCTGAGGGAGCTGGGGTTGTTTAGCCTGGAGAAGAGGAGGCTCAGAGGTGACCTCATCACCGTCTATAACTACCTGAAGGGAAGTTCTAGCCAGGTGGGGGTTGGTCTCTTCTCTCAGGCACTCAGCAATAGGACAAGGGGGCACGGGCTTAAGCTCCTCCAGGGGAAATTTAAGTTGGATATCAGGAGAAAATTCTTTACAGAGATAGTAATCAGACCTTGGAATGGGCTGCCCAGAGAGGTGGTGGATTCACCATCCCTGGAGATTTTTAAACGCAGATTGGACGTGGCCCTTAGTGCCATGATCTAGTAAATGGACTGGATTTGGACCAAGGTTTGGACTCGATGATCTCGGAGGTCTTTTCCAACCCAATCGATTCTATGATTCTATGATTCTATTCTATGATTCTGTGACTTTAGTTACACTGGGGTTAGTCCCTGTATGATCTTTATATGCTGCTGTTGAAGGAGAGAATGCTTTTACTGTCTTTGGGATGTGAAAGAACTGACTATGATATGTATCAAGCTATTTGAGAAGGTATTACATATTTGTGCTACAAGTGCTGTGGAGAAGTAGAAGATCATTTCCTTATTTGGAGTTATCCCTCAAGTCTGTCTAAAGGATATAACACCATATTTTCCTCTTTGCTACAATTTTATTTTAAAGGATCATGTTACCATGGGCAAGGACCTTAAAAATTTCAAGTCTGCTTTCTAAAAACATAATTTCTCTAAACTGCTTTCAAAATGTCATCAAGCTGCATTTTTAAATCCCAGATAAAGTGGTTTATATTTTGGGTAATTTAAATGGTTCTTTCCTAAGTTGCAATTATTATTGCATGTAATAATAATGGTTTTATCTCACTTTTAAAGACCCAGTTGATTTCAGCTGTGAAAGGTTTGCTAAATCATCACCAAATCTAGAACTTGCTCTTCTAGAAGAACCTGCTGGTTGTTGGAACAAAGGGAAGAGTGTGTTTATTTTGAAGTGTGGCCCATTGGTGTATCCCACTGATACACTAATCCATTGATACAGAGTACTGCTATAAGAAGAAATAGGTGCTGTGTTACAGTGAATCCTTATTTAGAGACTGTGCATGATACACAGCTTTATAGATTATATGTGTGATATACAGGTATGCCTTATGTATGATATGCAGGTATTTCATTTACTCTCCCTATTTCATACCAAGTCCATGACTTAATTTTCTTTGAAATTCGGAGCCCTCTCTAGGGTTTTCATTGCTTCAAAGATTCAATTCCACTTTTGTAAATGAGATTTGTTCTCCTGACATCTTTTATACCGTGTATTTCCTCTACCCATGTCTATTTTTGCTGTCAACAATGGTCTTAAACTTTCATTCCTTTCCTTACTGACACCTGATATGAAGTTTTTGTTTCCTATTTTGGGAGAAATTACAGTGTTCAGTCACTTAGTGATCATTTCCATGAACTAGTTCCCCTGAGCCTGCATCACATTGCCCTAAATTTGTCCTCTGCTACATGGCAGTGTTCTCATTGTGTAAAAACAGATGCAACATCCAGTCTGGTAGTGGTTATTGTGCATATCACAAGATAAATGACCTCAGGGTGGACCTGGGGAGATTAGGTTGGATAACAGGAAAAACTTCACTGCAAGGAGCGATCAAGCACAGGCAGTCTGGGGAGGTGGCAGAGACCATCCCTGGAAATGTTCGCAAACCATCTAGATGCACGTGTGGACATGACTTACGGGTGAACATGGCAGTGCTCAGTTAATGGTTGGAGTTGATGTTTTCTTCCAACCTTAACAATTCAGTGATTCTAATCTCTGGTTTTCAGATAAACAACATCACTGTGTTATCACAAGGTATCACTGTGATACCTTGGCTTGAGAGAACAGATAAATCAGGACCTCCACAGCACCTATATGCATGCAAAGATTACTGCAATGCAAAGGTCAACTGGTTTTAATCTCCAGAAGAAAGGGTGATAGATCAAATGTCTGTTTGAGCATTAGTCCCTAAAATAAATATTTTGCTTTGCTTTCAGCAGACTGCAAGGAATTTCTTTTAGATTAATTTAAGTTTCTTGCAGCTTTTGGAAGATCTTGAGGCTTTTGAAATACTTAAGCTTGATGAGAGTGAAAAATGTAGTATAAGGGTTATGAAACATTTTGGATTCTAAAACTAAAGTTTTGGAGTTTTTGAAAGTCTCTGAAGAGGAAAGGAGAAACTGTTGTGCCCATAATTACTACAGCAGAAGTTATGACTGGTTGTTGATAAGGTGTTATACTTTCTTCAGTTATTTGAAAGTAATGGTTTTCTGAAGGTGAAGAAGAAATCATCATCTCTGGTTCTGTTGTTTATCAATTAATTCATCTTATGTAAGCTTTCATAATTAAAAAAAAAAGAAAAAACCAAAACCAGAAAATTGCCTTGACCTTTTCTATATTGATAAAAAACTAAACATTGTAGAGATAAAGGGGAAGAAAAGCCTGACTTCAGGTTCCTGGATAAGTGTATTAATCACCAGCTTACTGCATAAAACATGGGTACTGCTTCCACCTCTTGTGTTTCTGGACAAAAGTGTCTGGGGTTTTGGTGTTTGGTTGTTGGGGGGTTTTTTGGTTGGTTGGTTGGTTGGTTTTTTGTTGTTTTTTTTTTTAACTTGTTGAGTTACATGACATTGCAGGACTCTGTGTTTGTTTGATTGTACTAACCAAATTGGAGACTTAGACAGAGATTGTTTTCTCCGAATCTTAATACTTTTGAAATTCATTTACTTGGACTAAGTGCACCTCAGCGTATGCAACTCTGTATTAATGGAGAACTTTGAATTTCAAAATGGTATTGCCTGTGGATTGCAAGAAATTACAGATTTTTATGCTTAAATAAGAAAATTAATGATTGGGTAAACAGACTGATTTTTACCTGTTGTCATACTTGCCAAGTTACAAAGCTCAGTCTTTGAAATAATGAATGTTATTTACTTAAAAATTATGAAACAGAGTGATTTAAAGATCAAATTTAATACATGGGAACAAATCCACATTCAAAAATTATAAATAGATTATAACATGAAGAGTAATGATTCAAGATAAGTAAATAAGAACATGAAACATGATAGAAGCTTTCAGTAGCTGAATAGTTTGTTAGGGTAAACTGGTTAATTAGACATAAATGTTTCACACTTCAAAGTGATTTTAAAAATGTTACTGTTGTATATCTTTTAACTTCTTTCATGTTTTTGACCTTTTTACAAGTTATAGTTCTGTTTAGGTTTTATTTCTTAAATACAGTTTTTTATCACAACGTGAATTCATGTCCAATTTTGATCTGCCCTTTAAAGATAAATGGATTTCCCAAAACACCAGAGAACTCAGAGTTTCAAGCTTCATTCAAGAGCTTCAGTCTATTTAAAAACAATAGATAACATAGGATTCTTGAACATTAGACTCTGTTAGCTGACATTTGTATGAATTGTTTGTAATTTTCCAACCTGCACCTTATGCAAAATATATAACATGTGACTAAAATCAAAGTTTTGTCAGATTTTAAAAAAGTTGATATAGATGGAGCTTTATAAATTGCTTATAAATTGGATGAACTCTGTCTGCCCATCTCCAATTTTTATTGTACTTCCCTTCTCTCTTCCTCTTCACAGAGGACTGACAATTTTTCTGTAATGTTTAGTGGATACTTAGTGGATACTTTAACATTGACACTGAATTGATTATTTAATGCTTTGACTTGATTAAATGTTATTCTCTGAGGAGGCAGGGCTTATTTACCAATCTTATTTGATTTGGTTTAAGCTATTGTAAATGTATTTCTAGAATTATAACATTTCCCTCATCTAAATGAAATACAAATAACGTATTTTCCTTTTGTTTTCTTTTCTTGAAGCCGATCAACAACTTACCCTTACACAGAAACCCAGATGTACACTCAAAACACTGGGGGAAATTATTTTGATACTCAAGGAAGTTCTGCACAGGTGACAACAGTGGTCTCGTCTCACAGCATGGTGGGCACTGGAGGGATTCAGATGGGTGTAACGGGAGGACAACTCATCAGCAGCTCAGGAGGGACCTATCTGATTGGGAATTCAATGGAAAATTCTGGTCACACAGTGACTCACACAACGCGGGCCTCCCCAGCGACAGTAAGTATTTCAGACTGACGCAAAATCTTTGAGACTAGTTTCTTAGTCACTCAGATGTTCTTGCAGACTGACACAGTTTTTGTGACAAAATGTATAGCAGTATTATGTTGCCAGAATAAGTACTACATAGTACTTTTTGTAAAAAAAGCACTATATATGTTTAAGATACAGCAGTAAGAATACTATGAAAACTTAAAGACATACCTTTCCCTTGACAGCTTGCAAATATTTACATTTCATACCTTAAATTTTAACATTTTTAATTTTTCTGAAAACATAAGAAAAATACAGTGTCGCTGAGGATAACTATGTTAGATGTACGTGTTAAATAATGTAAGCTACAGATTAGTGTCTGTAACTTCTCTGTGTTCTTTTAGTTTGTTTACCTGATATTAGTATAGTTTTGATAGGTTATTTCAAAATATTTCCAGGTGTTCAGAATTCTGAGATACTACATTTTAATACTTTATTTACTTATCTGTGGTATGTCTCCAAAGTCTGTTCCAGATTAGAAGCTCATTGTGACAGTGTCTGACAGTGCTATGGGAAGATGCATTCTGTTATAACTGTGGTAGATAATATTGCAGATACATAAACATAAGCACAGATCCTTCCCTTAAGAGCTTACTCAATCGGCCCATATTTCAGTTAGGAAAACATGTTTATACTGTGTCTAACTTTGCTGCATAGCCCTAATGAGTACTTTTACCTCATCCTTCTGGGTATTCTGGTCTGGATGTAGAGATTTGGAAGTAATGGGGAAGAGAATTGTGAAACATAGGGTAGCAAGAGTTGAAAAATATAGAAAGGAGATAAAACATCATTAATAATATAGATTCACCAGTATTCAAAAAGACAATGAAATTACAGGACCTAATTTTTAGTAACCAATCTAATAGCAGTGGATAATTTAGATGATCTGATAAATTCTCTCTATTTTGATTCTTAAGGTGATTGATATGGACAAATACAAAGTTCTTGTACCATGGAAGAAATTATTGTTTCATCCAAAAACCTATGCGGTATTATTTTCTGAGAACAAGAATTGTAAAAATGAATTCATGAATAGTATAATATCCCACTAAAACATAGTGGGAGCTTTCAGCTAACAACAAAGAATTTTATATTTGAATTACAAAAAAGAATGTATATTAACATTTGCCTTTATTTGACATCACTTTAATAGAGGAACAGAGTTTCTGAAAGAAGCATAATTCCTCTTTCAGATTTCAGATGCTTAACTGAATGTGAAAACAAGTGAGGCTTCAATGTATTCAGTAAACACAAGTGAAGGGTAGTAGATTTACTTTGAAATTGGAAATTCTAGAATTACTTGAATATCAAAACTCAGTGCTCTATTTTGCAAATTAAAAACTGTTTTGATTTTTTTGGCAAAATTAAAAATTTGCCAACACTGAACAAAATCTAAGGTTCATGACTTCAGCAACATCTTTTTCTTGCTTAATGGGTCAATAAAACAGCCTGGTTTAGTTTCTTAAGATAAGTTCTGTACTGCTCTATCAACTTGTTTTTAAGAATAGAAAAAAATACTTCTAATTAAATGACAATTATTAAATTGCATTTTGACACTAAAATAGTTTCTTCTGGTTTTTAGAGTGGTATTTATTCTGTATAGTATTCTGAAGGTATGATACATTAGAGTATATTAGAAGTACATTTCTTGCTAAGGAAGTGGGACATAAAGTGATTTTAGATTTTACTATTTTAGGTTCGGTGTGTATGTTTCAGCTGAAATATCCAAGAGTTAATTGAAACACTAAAGCTTCAGTTGAAACTTACTTTAAAGCACCAAGTCTGTTGTAACTTTACTAGGGGGCATAGTTAAACTGTGTAAAATAGAGCTATGTAATATTTTAATTTGATTGCACTTCAGATAGGTAGAGCTTGTTTCACTTATGATCCTCATTTCGTCTTTACCATCATAACTTTTTTCATTTCTTCCCAAATCTTCGTTCGCTAAGCCTCGCCATGATAGAGAATTTATTGGAATCATCAAAATAACCTCTGTCCAGACTGATTTGCTAGCATAATATGCAGAAAAATTTTCCAAATTTTGAATTAGTTTGGAAAATTTTCATGTGGAAAAATAATGATATAGAAATTAATGAGAAATTATTTATTAATACATGTGGTCATCACAAGTTCTCTTTATTTTGCTATAGAGGTACTAGTTCTGTTTACTCTTTTCAACTGGTAACTTCATTTCTTTTGTTGTTTATCACCCTCACTGATCAAACCATTACATTCTATAACAAGCAAATTAATTGTATAATTGATATTATCTCTTTCTGATAAGTTAAAAGAAAGAAACAAAACAGTTTCAGGTTAAAAGTCAAATGTGTAAAACAAGTCAATTTTATTAATTGTCTTATAGATAAATTAAATTAAAACTCTAATTTACTTTTCACCAGGTATGCTGTTTGGTTTATGCAGAATTCAGTAAAAGATACTCAGAGACTTTTTACCTTAAGTTTATTTTCACTTTATTTTTGTTGTGGTTTAATGTAATTCTGAATTCTGCTTCAGGTTTAATAAAGAGCATATATTATTTTGTAGTATTTAATTAATTTTAATTTTTGTCATTTAATATTTCATCAGAAAATTGTCCTGCTTAAGCTAGGACAGGCAGTAGCACTGGTTTTATAGCTAAAATATCAGGACTTGTGCACTATTAAAACTATTCCAACATATATACAGTAGTGGTTTATCTTAGCATATGTGAAGAATATTTGCTAGCTTTTTTTTTTTTTCATTTCCACTGATTTCATTGCTTCTTCCTGTTATATTCTTTGCTGGCCTAATAAACTACTTCTAAACTACCTGCCAGAAAGGACTTTTTCACTAAAACAGAAAGGCATTTAGATTACAAGACCTTCTGTATAAGATGCTGAGTAGATAAAAAGCTTTCCAAAGTGATCATTTTCATATGAGTATATGTGGATTGGTCACGACTAGACTGTGATTGCATTGAGCAAGAACTGATTTACCCTAGCTGGATGTCTGTTTGAAATGAATTTCCACGTTGAAAGCTGGACGAAAGAGTCATCTGGTTTACTGGCAGCTCTCATTAAAGAAGGAGCAGCTACATTTAAGAGACTCCCCAGAAAATTGGATTGCCATGTTAATAATGAAATATAAATCACCTTCCAATTTTTTTCCCCATATGTAAACATCTGAAGAGTGTTCTTGTGATGAAACAGGGTGATCTAATCAACATATTTCATAATATCACAAGGTTAAAAAATTCATACAATTTCTAGTAATAAATGTGTTGTTATTCTTGTCAGTCAGTAAGAGGCTCCCATCTATTAGTCTTGTTTTCAAGTGAGCTTTACAACTGTTCTTCAATTTACAGTTGTCATTCGTCAGTCATCACCAACTATAAGAGGTCTCCAGTCATGCTGTTACAGAAATTCATCATATTTCAGTGCAAATCTAAATGTGCATGAAAATAAAAACAAAATTAATATTGATGTAACGTATCACCAAAAATTATTAGTTCTGGTAGTAAGCACAGTGTGCCAAAGTTGCTGTTAGCTTTAAAAGAAGAACGGTACCTGCCAAAAATGTGTTGTACTATTGGAGAAAGAACAAGAAGAAGTAAGAAGGCCAAGTGGAAATATCATATCTTGATAATACCGTTTTAGTGAAAGTATTATAATTATTTTCAGAAAAACTAACAAATGTTTAAATGTTTCATAAAAGGCAGAGGGGTTATCATTTGGAAAACAGTTTGAGATGAGATTTTATTTAATAATCTCTTTCTTGGTAGAAGGAACTTTTCTGGTAATTTTCATTTAACTGGATCCATCTCAGCATAAAACAAAACATTTCTGATCAAATCAAAGATGCACAGATTTTTATACTAAAGGGATTATTGGATCATTTGATCTGACATGTTATTCGAGCAAGATATTTACTTATGATTTCTTCAACTGAGCACAGTGACATCTTTTGTGGGGGAAAAAAAAAAAAGGATAGCCCATAGGTCATGGGCCTTTATACACCTCTGTATTCAAGGCTTTTACTCCTCTTATGGTTTCTCCTTCAGAGCTGTGGATCTTCATCATTGCTTCTCCCTCTCTCTTTCAGTGTAGCAATGTCACCAAAATAACTTGCGTCTTTCTCCCTTTGAGTGCCTTGCTGCTCCGCTGTGAAGTCTTGCATTGAGACTGTGCCCTTTTCCCAAGACAAGGAATGTGGAGGAAAGGGGGAATGACCCTGCTAAGGTCAGCCTCACCTACCCTCACTGCATTCTGGCTTTATCTGCCTATGCTCCCTGTTTCTTTTATGATACAGGCTGGCTTCATTGGCTTTTAGTGTGTTTTCTGCGTGAAACCCCTCTAACAACTATAGGTTGTTTCCAGTTTGGGCAGTTTAATATTTATTCTAGTACTTTTGTATCTAAAAACCAAGTTGTTGGAAACTCAGTTTATTCCAATGTAGCATTCCAATTACCAAATTAAAAAGATTTTAAGAAACATAATTTTTAATAAGATGTTAATAAGATATTAAAAATAGATATCTTTGAATCCATGAGAAGAATTTCTGCTAATTCTTTTTATTTAAAAATATATAATCAACTGGATGCCAGAAGACTTACAGTGATCTCATAACAATCTGATTATCAGTGGCATAGATGCATCATGTTTCTAAAGGACTAGGGATTTTTTTGCTTCTTATTAAATACACACTTGTTCTAATATGGCCACTGTACCTTTGTCTAAGGTTGTCATGCCATAAACGTTTTCAAATTTGCTTTTAATAAGAATTTAAATTGAACTTTCATTTTAGTTTCTCTATTTTGATTTTCTGGCATAACTCTGATGTGTTTATAATTGTTTTTCAGTGTTAGGTGGAATGTATATATTCTAAAAGTTGTTACGATAAACTTGAAAAGCGATCTTTTTATTTTCCAAACATGGGGGAAATGACCACAAAGTAAAAAGTTTAGAATATGTTTAAAGATATGTATAATGGATATGAAATATACAAATAACTGGATGATCCTGGGGAGAAATAGTAAATTGGTCTGTTTGACCCTGTGTTTGAGAACTTATAGCAAAGAAAGTAAACACAGAATCATAGAATTTTAAGAGTTGAAAAGGACCTTACTGGTCATCTAGTCCCAACCCTCCCTGCCATGTGCAGGGATACCTTGCACTAGACCAGGTTGCTCAAAGCCTTATCTAACCTGACCTTGAACACTGCCAGGGTTGGGACAACCACAACAGCAACCTGTGGGCAACCTGTTCCACTGTCTCACCACCCTCACAGTAATGAATTTTTTGCTAATATCTAACCTAAATTTCCCCTCTTTAAATTTTTACCCATTACTTGTTGTCCTATCACTGCAGTTCCTGATGGAGAGTCCCTTTCCAGCTTCCCTGTAGACTACCTTCAGGCACTGGAAGGTTGCTATGAGGTCTCCATGCAACCTTCTCTTCTCCAGGCTGAACAGCCCCAACTTTCTCAGCCTGTCTTCATAGGGGAGGCATTCTAGTCCTCTTACCAACTTCATAGGCCTCCTTCAACAATCCTATGCCCTTCTTATTGTGAGGGCCACAGGCCTGGACACAGCACTCCAGATGGGATCTCACAAGAGCAGAGTAGAGGGGCAGAATCACCTCCTTTGACCTGTTGGCCACACTCCTTTTGATGCAGCCCAGGATTTCGTTGGCTTTCTGGGCTATGAGTGCAATGGACGATTCATGTTGAGTTTTATTGCCAACTATTACTCTTCCAAGTCTTTCTCTGCAGGGCTGCCCAACCTGTAAGTGTTGCCTGGGACTGCCATAATTGAGGTGTAGGATAGGACCTTTGCTTTGTTGAACTTCATGAGGTTTGCGTCAGCCAACCTCAACCATGTCAAGGTCCCTTCAGACCTGGTCCCCTGGGACCTGGGCATCAATGTTTCATTTGAAAATTTGAGAAGGAGAAGGTAATCTGACTTAACTCCAAGCATTTTTTGTTCCTCCAGTCTATGACTCTTAGGTGTGTATTTCTCTCTAGGTTGACTCAACATATTCTTTTTTAATCTCTAGAGAACATGCTATATTAAATAGTCAGTATGCATGTCTTAGGTACCTGCAGACTGTCTGCTGCTTCTAGGACACTGCTGCTGCTACAGGGCCTGCTTCTGATCAGGACCCCAAAACCCTCTCTTGAAGGTTGCTGTCCAGATACCTGTCCCAGTTTAGACTTGTGTCTGGCCCTTCTCAATCCCAGGTGCATTTCGACTTGTCACTTTCATGTCCACTCTATCTAGACCCCTCTGCAAGAACTCTTGTCCAGCAAGAGAGTCAACAGCACCTTACAGTTTGGTCTTGTCAGCAAACTTACTAATGGTGCATTCAACTCCTGTATTCAGATCACTGATAAAAGTATGAACAGAACTGGCCCTAGAATTGAGCCCTGCAGGGTACCAATAAAGTAAACTAAGAGGTAGCTGCAAATTTTCAGAAAGGACAAGTGAATGATTTACTGTCTAGAAAATCTGTCTTCAAATCGATGATATTATATGCTCAAAAATAGTTAAGAAGCAATTGTATAACCTACCTAGGAAGAGAGTTTCTTTCAGTAAAGAGATATGTATCTGTCAGAAAAAGGTTAAAGTTCATTTTATCAAAATTTAGACTAGAAATGGTAAAAAAAATAATTGGTAGTGAGAACAATTTCTCTTTTAGCTTGTCCTACTAGAATATGATGAAGACTCATTTTAAATATAGATCACATATATTAAAGTAATTAACATGTTTTAGTGGTAACCAGTACTGCTTGGCTTACATTATGCAGTAAAAGTAAACAGAGATTCATTGTCTTCAATGGCCATACTGGTGAAATCTACTAAAAGAAATTCCAGCAACAAAAATTTCTCAAATAACAAAAAGCCCATTAAAAAGATGGAAGGTTAGCACCAAAACCCATGGAATCAATATGGCAGTGAGGAAGGAGTGTTGTCTGTAATGCCACTTTACTTTTTAAGTGCAGTTACTTCTTTTTAACAGACTGGTTCTCTGAACAAGACCAGAAGTTGCAGCAACAAAATGAGAGTTGTGCAGTAGTGGGAATGAGCGCCAGGCAGTGTAACCTCGGTGTACGGTACTGCTGTGGATTGAGAATTGTGGAACAAGTAACCTAACATTCAGATTTAGGATTTGAATGTCTGTATGGTCTTCATTGTTGGATTTTAGCATTATGTTAGGAAGGGAAATTCTGTGGCTACAGCACATAGCAAGTTGACCTTACTATGATGATCTTTTCAGCTTGTAGTTTTTATCATGTGGCATGCTTTTAGAATTTGATCTTTCTTGTGTGATTGAATACTTTGACCTCATAGTAGTTTCTGTGGAAGCAAGTCAGTGAAGAAGTCAGATTATTTAAAGAAAAAACATTATTGCCAAGTAAGTTTTCTTGATAATAACTGCATATTTTTAATAATGTACTTTAAAAAAAAAAACTTGCAAAGCTAATATTAAACAGTTAAAAGAAAAGACTCCTCACATTATTACGATAAAATACTTGTCAGTTGCGTTGTAAAAAAAAAAGCTAGTTTTATATGTATGGTAAATTCAAATACCTACTATAGTATTTTTAGGTAATTTCCTGCTATACAGAGAGTTCAGGCAATATGGATAAATTATTTCACTAAAATTTTGGATATTTGAAGGAGGATAGAGAGGGTTCATTAAAAATGTCTACACAGAGAATTATAATTGTTTTTAAAAGGTATAATGGTGGTTTCCATTGCTTTCACTTTGGCCATTTAATGTAGCTAATTAACTGTATGCCTTTTCTTACTGTGCATCACATTGTCGCTGTCATTTTCATTGTTGTTTTTGCTCTTCTAGCCCCCAGTTAAATTACACTTAGGTTCTTATTTTTTCTTTATTGTTGTTGTTACCAAACTGATAAAAATCAAAATATCTGTTGTTACTAAAAAAGAAGAGAAAGGGAATGGGTGTGAGAATATTTGTACTTTTGCATTTGAAGAAATTCTATTTTGTATTTTAGTTGTACTGTATTTTCTTTTCCTTTTAAAAAGCAAAATTATTGTGAACAAATCTGCTTTTCCAAAAGCTGGATCCTGCAGTCTGTGTAACTCCTGACTTTCCATTTACTTTGACAGCTGGGAATATTCAGAGGGTGCTGGCAGCAGTAAGGGTTGATGTCCTGTCCCAGTGAAGTTAATGGTGTAAAACCTATTGAATTACTTTGGTTTGGGATTTGATTCTGTAATTTCAGAGAGTTAAAGTTCTGTTTCTAATTCAATTCCTATTGCAAACTCTGCATGTCTTTTCCTGATTTAATTGAAGGGAATGCATATGGAGGCCTTTCTTAAAATCGTTTAGGGATTTTTTAAAAATTTTTATTTTTACTTAATGATATTTTTGTTCAGTCAGGGTTATTTTTGTTTCAGTGCAGCTCACCAATAATTCTACTCCTTTGAGCTCATTCTGAGTAGCTTGGAAGGCAAAATGGACATTGAGGCTATGATCCTGCAGTATATATGTGAGCAAAATGACTTTCTGACCTCCTTGAAGAGGTTTGTCTTCACTGGGACTCTGGAATGAGGCCTTTTAGTAGAATATATGCCCTAGCCAGGAATAAAGTAGGCATTTCTATTGATCTATTAGCAGTCTGTCAAAACTTCTCTGATCAGGCTTTTTTACTATCCCGTCTTGAGTCCTTTTTTTAATGACATCTATTATCAGATTGAAATGGCGATTGAGACACTGCAAAAGTCTGATGGTCTGTCCACTCACAGAAGCTCTCTTCTCAACAGCCATGTAAGTTGTCTCTTCTTCACATACACTCTCTCTTGCTTGTTCTGCATGCTTAGCCTGCCTCTAAATGTTTGTTTTATTTTATTACTACTTTTTGCTCTTAATCTTCCCATCTTAGTTGCTTGTAATCTTCTACTACACCTCCCATGGCTTTATTTTGTCAGATTAAATGTCTTTATGGTATATAGCAGAGTGTTACCTGTTTCCTATGCTCTACACCTATGTTAAGACAAGTTAACACATTTGACTGTTCTGCGGGTTTTAGTGTAAATGTCAAGCTAAGGTTCAATTAATTCTGAAGTAGCTGGCTTTTGCCATTTTAAATGAAGTTGTCTGCAAAGTAAGATCTGTGTATCCTATACTAATTTTGGGGCATGTGAAGAGGAAGAGAAGGAACAAACAGCACACCTAAATAATATATTTAAGTTATTTCTGGATGTTTTTTCATTTGTTCTGACTAGAGAGTTTATTATGAATTTATTTACATAAGAATCCTGAAGATCCTTACGATGACCTGGTAAAAATTGAAAACATTGCCTTAATTTGAAGTACACAGAAATGGTTTGTTCATCTGCCTTTTACTTTATTCTTCGTCTGCAAGTCTTACATTAAAGAATTTCCATAAACAAAGCTAAAAGATATTTGGGAAAAAACATGACCTCCAAATATAGTGATAAGTATCTTTATAGTGATGTGTAATGTTAAAATAAAGGAAAAAGGCCCAAAGTTAATTTTAAAATTATTATATAAATAATAAAATTAATTTTTAAGTTGTTAGTCTTTCCTAAAATGTTTTTTTTTCTGTTGATATTTATGGGTTTGCATTTTGTATTTTTTGCCATGTTGATTGGTTTCTATTCATCTTACTACTTTTTTCCTTCTCAGCTTTACTTACTATGTAAATTCAAATTCCTTTATTGTTTTACAGAAGAAATTTAAATTTAGTTGCAGTCTTAATGTAGAATATGATAGTAGAGACTGTCCCTCAGAAATCAAATTTAAAACGTATGTTTTAGCAGGGTTGGGGGGTTTTTTGTTTCTCTAGGGGTCTGGTTATGTCAAAGTCAAAACTAGAAACGTTTTGTGGAAAATATAGGCAAATTTTTTTATTTCTTTAGAAAATCTAAAATTGGAACACTATATAAAGAGTATACTTTTAGATTCCACTTTGTGTGTTTACAAAATAATTGCTTTGAAGATAAGACAGTGTAAAAATTATTATTTAAATAATAACAATAATAGACAGATAATATCAAAGTCATTGTTTAAATGTCATTTTTAAAAGTACCATAGCTTTTTTAGGCATAGTCTTAGAAATCTGCATTAGGACTTGGAACACTAGAAGTATTGATAAGTTTGTGTGTAATCCTGTTATGAAGACCATAGTCTTGGTATAAAACCACGAAAAATTACAAGATAAGCTGCAGTGCCTCAGTAAACTGTGTTTCACTCATTTTTAGTTCTAGGCACTTTTCACAATGTGTTTCTAATAATGAGATTTGCATCCAACTGTTAAGACTTATCATGATATTTCTTTCTTGAATGTGAAGCTTTTTCGAAGTTATTTTGATAGGGATGTATCTTTGACTGTATGGGGGGGAAAAAAACCAACAAAAAACAAAAAACAAACCCTTGTGCATATTTTTGTGGCAATAAGTATTTCCTAGATTTTGGTCATTTTGAAAGAAGTTTTAGATCTAGATCAAGTGTATTCGATGTTTTGGCTGTTTTAAAAACAATGCTTATTGTCTTTAAACTCAAGGACAATATGGAGGAAATTTAAGTGTAGTTTTAGTCTTTGTCTCTTTAACCTTTTCTTGATTTTGACTTCTAATGGTTTGGTTTGGCATTTATTAAAATAATTGGCGTAATAGATTTTAAAAGTAGAATTCTACATTTTGTGTTTAACTAACTTGCACTTTCCTGATGATAAATTAATTTGTGGGGAAATTTTATTTTTGGGATTGAAATTTCAATCCTCCTCCTATGATACCTCAATGAGGTTTTATAGGATTTTTTTTCCTAGATACATGAGTGCTCATTTTAAGGAATTTGTCGTTTCTACTCTGTTTTCTCTTCTTTCTTGATTTATTTCTGCATGAGATCGACTTATTTAATTAATTGATAGTTCAGTGTTTTATGAACATTGCAGCCTAGTTGAAGTTGCACTCAGTTTAACAGTTCTGGCTCTGTAAATATTTCATACCTTTCCCCATCCTGCCTATACAGCATAGTCTGTTTATTTAGTAAATTTAAAAGCCATGATTCAAACCTGAACAATTTTAGAATTATATTTGAATTTGGTAGAAAAATGTTTGGGTTCTTTAAAAAATTGTTTACAATAATGTTTGAAGAAAATTTTCTTTTAAAATCATGAATTAACTGCATTTTTTCCAGGCTTTAATCCATCAAGTAATAATTTCAAACCCTTGCTACTAAGTAGTGCCTCCCAAGCAAAAGTTCTTATATTGCACTTAACTTTTGATTTAGTTTTTTTGTGTGTTGAATAATGCAAGTTATGTTTGAAATAACATCTGTTAGAAATTCATATAATTAATGAAGTGCACTTGAAGTGATTAATGCTAGGTTAGAAACCATCTGGTGAAAATATCTTCAATTCTACATACAGAACTTAATTGCAAAATAGTTAATTTTTGTTAGTCAGTCTTTTGGGATTGACAGAGTTCCCTTTAGGGAAAACAGAAATACTTCACATTCCATGTCTGTTCTGATTAAATTCTAGATGTAATAATATATGACAAATGTTATATAAATGTATTAATAGAAATATAGATGAAATAACAGATTTTAAATATAGATAGATTGCAACCATTGAAAGATATAATTACCTTTGTTTCTAAGTCTAGACAGGCTTACGTCAGGTCATTAGTGAGATAAGTTTAATACATCCAGACAAAAGTCAATTATCCTTTTTCTTCAGCTTTATTTCAAAAGGACAGATGCTTGGTTTGGAAGCACTTTTGAATGTTCAAACATAAAATAATGGCATGAGAACTGATGATTAACTACTTTTTAATTTTGTTTATTTGAAATGCAAAATTACCTGCAAACTGAGCTAAAAATTTTACGTGTTGGAAGCATTTGCATCTTACTTCTGTATTTTTCTAGAGCTTAGAAAATTCAGGGATCTAAAACCATGACAAGTACTGGGAAAAAAAAGGAAAATGTTAGCTTATGAGAAAACTAAAGCAGTGGAATTTAAATGCATTCTCAAACTTTATTGGTTTTGATCTATTTTGTCATTTTCCTGTAATATTAAATCTAGGACTGTTAGATTGTCCTTTTCACTTTTTTTTGTATATTAGCAACAGCTAGAGGTGTTTTATGAATTTGCTCTACTTAGAACACCCAGTGATATTACATAAAGTCTCTTCTTGCATGTATCTAATTACCTACCACAATTACATGAAAAGATTACTGTTTTTCCAAGAAACTCATTCTGTTCCTCTTGGCAGTCAAAGACAAGCAGGCTATATCTGAAAGGGTTGGTACCCTTAATAACTTATAGATGTACCAGTTATTTTCAACGTTACCTAGGTTGCTCTTTGACTTAAATGCACTAGCTTTTTTCTTATGTTTTTTTAATAACAGGCAAAGAGAAACAGTATGATATTCCAGGTTTACAAATACATTAATTACCTATTATTAGTCCAAGGAGTTTGTTTTCTGCAATTTATGTGAATTACGTTCATGGTTACTTTATTTTTTTGTGGTACTAACAGTTTGTCTCCGAAGCATAGATACTTTTATCAAGTATTGGTGTGTGGTACTGAATCAAAAATATTTTAGGAAATGGGAACTTTCCTGAGGTCACGAGTGCAATGAGTTCTGCTATTCCCTGGTAATCTGAAGATCCTATAGCACTATGGTATAGCTAACCTTTAAGGATTCTCTGAAGAAGGAAGTAATTGTTTAATAGACCTGAAGAGTGGTTCCAGGACTGTCAGAAGTTAATGTTGCACGACTACAGTATTTTTAATAAAGTATATAATAAAAAATCTTTTTTCTGTTTTGTATGTGATATAGCTTCAGTGGCTTTTAGACAACTATGAAACTGCAGAAGGAGTGAGCCTTCCAAGAAGTACCCTTTACAACCATTACTTACGGCATTGTCAGGAGCACAAATTGGATCCAGTCAATGCTGCCTCCTTTGGAAAACTCATACGGTCAATCTTCATGGGACTGCGGACCAGAAGACTTGGAACTAGGTTTGTGTTATTGAAATCTGGAATTATAATAGAAAATATATGTAATCAGTAAGAAACTTGCCTGCTAGGGAAAAGAATAAACAAAACCTGCATTTAAATATTACAGTGTTTTTCTGTCAGTTCTGTTTCTTAATGTTAAACAGTTTTATGCATTTTCAAGATGCTTTATAGTTTTATTTCTTCTGGGTTTGACAGTTTTATGTGTTTACTTTTTGGTAACTACACTGCAGATTTTTAGCATCACAAATATAACATAGCTTGCTATTTGGAAATCACTAAGAATACTGTCTGTCCATAACCAGATAAGTTGTTTTTATTTGCATTTTATTTTTCTTACTCAAATGGAGTAAGAAAAGTTAAAATGCTGATAATATTTGTTTAAGAAAGTGAATTAATTTCCCAAAGGTGGTAAAAATGACACCCATGTAAAATAGGTATGACAGGAGAGTCAGGCCTGATTTGTGTTTATTCTTTTCCAGTCAATGTAAATTGTAATGTAAATGTAATGTAAATGCATAAAAATAGTGTTACTGTTCTTTTAATTCTTGCTCTTTCGTAAAGGGGAAACTCCAAATACCATTATTATGGGATTCGTGTCAAGCCAGACTCTCCTCTTAATCGCCTACAAGAGGACATGCAATATATGGCAATGAGACAACAGCCCATGCAGCAGAAACAGAGGTAAAGTGTGAAATGAACATAACTACTTACTAATATTTCTAATTCATAAAATGTTACTTTTCCTTACATGGAAAAGTTGAATTTCTGATGCAACTTTTGTTCAACTTCTCTGCTGTGAAAATAAAACTTCACTGGGTATCGAGTTGGTGTCAATAAATTTAGGTACCAGTCAATGTGAAAGAATATTTATCTAGAAATTGTCATAAATGTGCAAAAAGAAAATAGTAATAAAATGACCTGTAATATTAACAGACTCAACTGTCTTGAGTTCTTGCCCCACAAGCTGAAGAAAAGCAGTAAGAGCTTGAATTTCAAGTATTCCTGTTTGTTTTCATTGTTACGTCCTTTTACATACACACTTCTTATCAGAGAGCTAATTATTAAATGCTTGGTATTTGTTTCCTCTTCCTGTGAAGAATTAATGTGACCATAATGGTCTGCTTATAAGTTGATTTAAGTATTTTTCCTCAGTATCTGTTGTTCCTGAGGAACCTGTGAAACTCAGAAGTATTTGAAAGCAGTGGCACAGGGCTGTACTGGTGGTGAAAGAATGTGTGAATATGTATATTAGAAACTATGTTGAACATGAAATTTTAGGGGGAGAAATGGAAATTGGTAAATTTCTTTGAAATTAATTTTTATTTGACTGATGTCACTAGCCTCCCATATTACCCTAGAGTAAAATATGTAAGATGCATAATTTCATGAAACTCAAAGGTAGAAGAGCGGCATATCAAACAAGACACCTTTAGAGCTATTACCCCCCCAAAAATCCAATTGAATCAACAGTTTGGTACAGTATACTAAGCATATTTTGTGACCTTAGACACAACTGAGATATGGAGAACACAACATCAAACTTTAACTTCAAACACAGAGATCACTTTGATCTGAAATTATTTTACTGTCATTTCCAGAGGTAGTTACAGCACTAAATGCAAATTCATAGTAAGGTATATGATCTTAACTGTCTTTTGCTTAGATCATACGGGAGCATGAGATGTCTCACAATATGATCATGTGGAAAATTCTGTTACAAAAATCATCAGGATAATATAGTAAGAAGAAATGATAGATATTTACGGATCTCCAACCAAGCAAATTCTAGCTACTTAATCTCATTCAGAAGTTTCATTCACTCACATTCAAAATCACTGATATGCACCAAGACATATACCACAATGATCTAACTAGAATTGTTTCTGGAAAAATTATGCCAGTTATCTAAACATTGTCACATCTCTTTTCTTCTTCTTAATTCACAATGACAAAGTGATTTTGAGATTTCATTATGTAACTGTCAGGAGTGGATATTTCTTTTTGTATTATTTGCTTACGTACTTCCTTTGTTTTCCTTACCTAGGTATATTTGGTGGCATTTTCTTAACTTTATGTCAATATGTTCCTTGATTATGTTTGAATGAAATTACACATATGGCACTGTATAGCAGTTAGTGCATACTTCTCCTTTAAACCCATGTTTTGCACATGCACACACATACATGCACACACATACATGCACACACATACATGCACAAGCACACACCCATTTATACTAAAGGACTGGATATTGTAATTTGCATGATTATGGTAATGTTACTCTTTCGTCAGCTTTATTAATATTTCTAGTGGTTCTTTTGTCTTTTAAATTGGTGGTAAATTGAAGTCAATATATTTTTTTCTGTAGTTACACCAATTCTACCATCTCTATCAGACACATCTCACTGGATTGACACTTCTAATCCTTTTCGGCAAAGGCTGTAGACTGAGCGTATGCTGCAGATCATTTTTCTTCATTCCTTTTCTTGATTTTTTACTTGAATCTTTTTTACTTGGGTAACTTCAATATCCCAAAGTCCTCTTATTTGATTTGAAGTCTTTCATTATCCTCAGGCAGTAATGTCATTTCTTCTTAAGGTAATGAAACATTATTTTTGAATTACAAAATTACTGGGAAGCCAAGCTTTTTGGAAAGGGAAGGATTTCATTCCTTTTGGTGTAAATTTGCTGGTCTTATGGTATGCTGTTAGTAAGCTAAATTCCATCAGGAAGTGCTAGTGGTGCTGTGATATCACCTTTATGAATTCTGTAATGCATTGTTAATACTATAGCTTCCCTTTGTGGTTGTTTCTTCTGTTATTGACAAAATACATAAAAATCTCTAAATTCTTTTGTTGCTTTTCCTCAAAATTTTATTTTGAGGTGAAGAAATCAGACTCTATGATCCATTTATGAAGAAGCGAATAGAAAGGATAATTTTGTACTTGATATTTTTGTAGGTATAAGCCTATGCAGAAAGTGGATGGAGTTGCAGATGGCTTCACAGGAAGTGGTCAACAGACTGGCACATCTGTTGAACAAACTGTAATTGCCCAAAGTCAACATCATCAACAGTTTCTAGGTATGAAAGCAGGTTTTATACTGCTATATAAATAAGATGAGCTTCATTATCACTGTGAATATCAACTCACCAAGTACAGTAGTTGCTTCCAAGGTTATCATACCCTCGTTAAAAGCCTTACAGCTGAACAAAAAGGCACTTAAATTACACATGAGCTTTATGTAATATTTAATATGCATCAGGAAAGGAAGAATATGCAAATTCTGTATTTGTGAGATATATTTAATATTACATAAATGCAGTTGCTTTGCAAAGTTATATTAAATGTGCATATTGAAATTCCTGCTATGAAAGTTGTTTCCTGCATGTGCATTACAGTGCATTTTATTTTATGAAAGGTGGGGTAGAGGGATGGCATTGCATTACTATTGCAGGTTAGCTATCCCGTGGGCTGCTTTGGAAGTGTGTTCTAGCGTTGTAAGTGGAAAGAGACAAATTGTTTCAACTGGAACCCCAAAGTCATGTTTAAAAATATCTAAATCATGCATTCACTGATCCAGTTAAGCATGTATTTCAGTAATGGAAACAAATTGTACTTTACTTAATTGTTTATGTAAAGAAGTGTCCTTGGCTGTGTTATTAGAGAAGGTGTAGTCTTACTTGGCTGGGAGTTTCAGGGACAAAATCCTTTGGCCTAACCATTTGGAACATAAGGGTAGCATTAAAGTGCTTTGAGTCTTCCTTTCTGGGTACCTTTCAGCCCAGCATTTTTATCTATCAGCTTGTCTCTCAGAAACATTTGTGACAAATAGTAAAAGCACACAATGGCTCTACTTGAAAGTCTAGTAAATGGCAAGTAAAAATGTATATTGAGTCTATTAAACCCCATGACACCTGGCTACATAGAAACTCTTCAGTTGAACAAAAAAAAAAAAATCAGTGATTAATTTTTTGTATACTGGCTTAGATATTTTCCTTCATCCTGTAATAGTTTGAAAAAGTATGTGTTAGCTTCTCTGTATAGGTGTAGTATGTACATTACATCTTTTTAATGTCTTCAAGAATAATTTTGTATTTCTTTTTTATTAAAAAGTGCTGACTGAATTTATTTATGATTTTAGCATACAACAGGGATGAAGGACTTTCCTCTTTGTATACTGTGACCTTCTGGAATTTATTTCTTTGTATAATCCTTAAGGTTTTTTCTTAATTGTACTGTAACTCGCACTGTTCACAACAGCCCTCTTTCATTATGTTGTCATGACAACAGATGCATCTCGAGTACTGCCAGAGTTTGGAGAAGTTGAAATCTCTTCTCTGCCAGATGGTACTACCTTTGAGGACATCAAATCACTACAGAGTCTTTATCGAGAGCACTGTGAGGTATTTCCTATAAACAATTTCTTTCTTAAAGCCAATACAACACAATAAAACCAAATATTGTAGCCATGATAGTGGTATGTGACTTTCCCCCAGGATATTTTAGTTATTTCATTGAAAAGGATGGCAAAAAGATTTTTCTGGAGGGTATCTTTTGAAATATTGTTATGTGTATGTTTTCAGAATGTTAGAGAAACTAGACTATAGATTGTAGATGCAGATCTTTGGTTTAGTCAATAGGAAATGTAAATGAGGTCGAATTATAATTATTTTTTTTTACATTAAAAGCAGTAACTTTTTCTCATTTTGAAGAAACATTGAGAAATTTAAGTACATTTGATACTGAACAGTATGTCTTTTAAAATTATTTTAAGATATTTTCAAACCTATATGGAATTATGGAAGTGAATAAAGTGTGAGGTTTCCTTCTGTCTTTGCAGTAGCAGTAAATATTTTCTGTGGTAAAATTCCTCTGATATGTTTACGTAGGCCATACTAATTTCTGGAGTCTTCCATGCTTGTGCACTTAGTCTTATTCAAGTTTCTGTGTGCAGCGGTTTATAGTGCTGGATAATTTGTGGATATCAAAGGTATTAAAACAGATACCGTTTGTAACTTGAGAAATGTACAGTTTGTCTTTGCTCCACTACATGGTGAAGGAAAAAAGCTATAGATCCAGTTGGAGTTAGGAGTGGGGGGGAAGCTGGGTACAAGACAATATGATCTCATGTTTTGTTTTCTCAGGCAATACTGGATGTGGTTGTTAATCTTCAATTCAGCCTGATAGAAAAATTGTGGCAAACTTTCTGGCGTTATTCTCCCTCTGCTCCACCTGATGACACTCCTGTCACTGAACCAAGGTCAGTCAATGTTTCTCTTTGTTTATTGTGTCTCATGATAATATAATACAAGTGTGGGAAAAAAAACCTTATTAGTTTTACTTGAGTAGTAATAATTTTTTCTCCTGTGATAATCTTCCAAGTTAAATTTATGTTGTGTGGCATTTTTGTATAGCTGGGGTGTATGCCAAAGGTTAGTCTTGGAACAGTTGTGCCATCCATTGGGTTTTTTGCATAGAGAACTACAATAAAGGTGTCTCTTACCAGTATTCAGTCTACTTCTTTTAAGCCAAAAGTATCGTCCATATGTCTGCACAATTTATGAGTTATAGGAGAACTATGGAGCATTTCTTAAATCCATTTCCATGTGACACAACGTCTAAAGAAGTTATACTGGGTGTAGCTGAGAAATCTCTGACATCTTTAGGAAAAAATACATTTTAACACCCATTTCAGATTTTTACCTACTGTAAATCATGGAATCATAGAAACTTTAAGGTTGGAAAGGACCTGTAAGATCTTCTAATTCATCTGTTTACCTAGCACTGCCATGTTAACCACTAAACCATGTCCCGAGGTGCCATATATGCATTATCATTTATTCATTTTTTTTGACACCAGCAATCTGAGTGAAATAGAAAGTCGACTTCCAAAAGCAAAGCTGATTACTCTGTGCAAGAATGAGTCTATTCTGAAATGGATGTGTAACTGTGACCATGTGATGTACCAGGCTTTGGTGGAGATTCTCATTCCTGACGTCCTTAGACCTATTCCTAGTAAGTTGAACACCTAAAACGTTTTGTAAGGATTCTTCTGCAAACATGTGTGTGGTGGAGGTGTCCTTATGCCTCACAGGGCAACTTAAGGAAGAAGTTTTAAACTTACAAAAGTACTTTGTGTCATTACCCCTAATTTTGTTGTGTAAGAAGTTATGCTGAGAATTGACATATGTTTTGTATTTTAAACATACATGAGGATTTTAGTGCAGTTGGAAGATCTAGCTTTCAAGATACAGTTTCATATTAAACGTCCTTTCTATGTGTGTTATATCTTCAGGTAAAAATGTGTTCCTTTTACCCTGGCTCTGGGCTGCCTGATAGAAGTCCTGTGGCCCTGAGACAATGTGCACTAAGTCAGTCATTCCACTACATTGAGTAGTTTTCAGTTTAAGTATCACATGTTAAACTTTGATTAGTCTGGGAAAAAAATGAGGGTTTTGTGATTCCATGTTTGGACAATTAGTCTTCTGGTCCTTATCAGTGACTGCTGAAATCAATTCTAGTGTCTGTTAAGGCAATGAAAAATTAGCTCATAAATTTTTAATCCAGTTTATTATTCCAACCTATTGTTCTTTCTCTCACACATCCTGCATGAAAGAGTCAGTAGTTGTCCAGTCATTCTACCATTACCAGAAGTACAGCTTTCTTTTCAAATTTAATTTTACTAGAATCCATCATTGCTCTATTGTATTTTTATGGCTATTTTTGGTAGAAAACAATTTTTTTTAAGAAAGTTAAACTCCTTAACGTATTTATTGTCTCCCATATGCTCTCCCAAATATTATAACGAAATCATGTTAACAACTCACTATAAACCTCATAACCCCTACATATTGTTTCCTTTCCATGAAAAAACAGTATTCACTTTATGAAGTTGAATTAATATTATTTAAAAAATTATAGCCTTAAGTAGTACTCCAGCTAACAAAGCTGTTTTGTCATGCTGTGAACACCTCTTCTGCTATATTGACTCCAGCAGTATAAGCACTCCATAAGACTATTTGCAGGTACTGCCTTGCAAAAAAGTTTTATTGACTCCTTTTTTGTCAGTGAAATTTAGGTTTTAGCAAATAATGTATGATGCAAAATTTTTTTTAAACTTGAACTGTATAAAATCTGAAAGTTTGCCATTTACAAAGGTAATTTTACCTTTTTTTAAGGAAAGGGTAAGTTCTTGGTAGAGAGTGACATAATTTATCTGTGCATCTGTATAGCAGAATAAAGGAAAAATGTTTTCTCAAATACATGCAATTATTGACAACCTTTACTTATATAAATTATTTTGCATTGGTTTATATTTAATGATTTACTTCTCTAATGACAACGCCAATAGGTAGGATTTTTGAGTAATATGCTGTATTACAAACAATTAAGCAATGATAAAAACTGCACAAATTTAATTGCAACATTTAATAGGTAGAATTAAAACTCAGACTTTCAAAAGCACATTAATTTCTGAATAAAAAGGTGATGCAAACACGGTTTTTTCATCGAACCTGCTTTTCATCTTCCTTTTCACTTGCTTGTCCTGCACAGCCTGGCAGTCTCTACAGAAGTGTTTAAATGACAACTGTATGGCTTCTGGTGTCTTCCTGCTTTGTTTCATAAGATGCAATGGGCATTGCCAGTAGAGGATTTCAAGAAAATGGGACACAATCATTTAATATCAATAACAACAGGCATCATGTCCTTTCCATGCTATTTTCTTTCTTTCTAGAATTACCAGTCATATTTGAATAATTGATACCTACTGGGTGTGACATTCCTGTTTTGGGGATGATTATCAGACTGTTTAATGCAAACACATCCCAGGACAAATATTTCCCAAGCAATTTCTGCCTCTGTTTTGTAAACAGCCCAGTAGTTTTTTGCTCAGAAGTCCACTACTGAGCTACTTTTGGAAGACAGCTAATGTATTTTCTTACTTTGTCTTTAGGATCAGCTAACTAAATGGCTTTTTCCAGTCTTCTTTCCTGTCATGATGGTCCATCCAAGTTTCTTCTTCACTGTTAAATGTTTAAAATATTTTTTTTTAACTCCTTCCTTAGAGTAAAAGCATCTCCGGTCATTACAAGAGACAGAAAAGATGGCTTAAGGTTGACTATGACAGTAGTGGAGCTGGGTGAAGTAGATAAATTCATCATCCTCTGTGGGAAAATAGCAGCTGATAGAAAAGTTTGGACTGTGTAGAGGAACTGGGACTGTAAATGCTTCATTAAAGACATGGATTTTTTCTCCTGAATAGATGGAAAGATAGCAGCAGCAGCTGCTCAAAATAGGGAAAAATATTAATTTGGAAAGGGCTTGAAGAAAGCATATGATTTTTTCAAGTTTGGTTTTTTTTAATCTGGATTTTCAGTGTTTTTTCTTTTAGATACTGTGCTACTCAGCTGTGTAATACATATTACTGGAATAGAAAAGAAAGACCATTGAGGAATAAAATGGTTTTATTTTTAACCTCTATGTTAAATTTGTTAGCTGAAATATTTAACACCCACAGAATGAATGAAGAATTGCTGTGTATAAAACAGCAAAATTCCTTTTCCTAAGAAAAGTGAAATGCTTTCCATTTGAGTCAGGAATAAAGACCATAATTATCTAATGTCTTTGGCAAGGTAGACCAGAGGTATTATGTTTTAGAATGGAATTTTTGCATCTTCACAAGTGACAGAATGGACAGTAACACATTTGCTTGTGACCTAGTTTCTATGATAGGTCAAGAATTTATGCAAAATGTACTTCCACACCGTATTACACAATTCCAGACAGACAAAAATTTAAAGTACTGGAAAGACTTTAAACCCTAGTTTTGTACATGTCAGGGTTTTTGGTTCACAAGTCAAGCTTTTTAGGTGCTTGTGCAAATCAGACTTCTGGTAACTACCACTGCCACATCATTTAGTGTGTGTCTAATAACATTTAACAATTTACTTTGCACCACACTCCTCATGCAAAGATTCTTCGAAACAGAGTTTTCTTGGTTTTCTAGGATAGCCAGATGAACTTAGAAGAAAGACTGAAGGACATAGGTAGTTCGGGTTTTGGTAATGGCAAGATGTGTACTTAAGGATAGAGTATGAGAAAAATTCTGTATTTAATACATCTCCAGAGCTCATTAGAAATTTGTGATTGTTCTATATAATACTGATGCCTGATTATCTATTTGAGCCATTTTATTTCTTCAGAACTTAGAAATCCTTTCATTTGTTCATTTTTCTTCCTAGTTAAAGGCCTTTCTTAAGGCTTGAGCTGCTTTTTCATATTTATTTTTAAAGGACATCAGCATCAGTGATGCAAATGATTTTGTAATATATACTCTCAGATGAAAAAGAGTAATAAGCACATTAGAAGTGAAAAAGCAGAAATATTATTCTTAACTAAGCACAATTTATACAGTAGTTACATTATTACTTCCACTTTGCATTTTCTTGTCTTGTAGGTAAGAAAATGTGAGTGAATACATAGTCAATTAGTAAGTGCACAGAAATAATTTACAAAGCAGCACAGGTGAGCTAGGTGATTGACAGGCTTGAGGAAAAAAGCTTGTTCTTCATGTGTAAACCTCAAAGGAGAAAAAAACCTAATGCCATAAGAGGCCTCAGCTAATACAGATACTTTGTAAGATCAAATTGTGGTCAGCTAAGCGTCCAAATGTGTGGTGAGTTATATAAATTACCAGTATGGATTCTACTGCTTATCACTGCAAATTTGAAGACCTGTGAAAAAGAGATGACAAAGAATACAGATTTTATTTTAGTAAATTTACTTTAGTGTTAAAGCTTTATTTAAAAAAGTATTATTAAAAAAGGCTTTATTATAAAAGGTATTATTTCCTTTGGTTTTTTCCTCTTCACGTCTGTAGTTGCATTCATTCTCTACCAGTCTTCAGAAACCTGTGGTTTTTCTTTTTGTCTCCTGTTTTTTGCAACAGTTTGAGTGGATGCTATTTTGTCAATGTGCAGGTGTTAGGTGTGGGAAAGCAAGGTTTCTATGACTAAGACAATGTGATTTTCTTTTTTCCAGGCACAGCTCCTTGGGACAATACTTTCTGTCCTTCTCCTCTGAAAAAATTAAAACTTCTGTTTTTAGTAGTGCAGATTGCTGTAGGGGCTTCTTCGATTTCTCTCTAAATCTCTGTCAGCCTTGCAGCATTTCTATGGGTGCTATAGAAAAGAAACAAAAATGCATACAAATTCCATAGTCATTTGAATAATCTCACTTTCTGTCAGTGAAACGCTCTCCTATATCTTGCTTACTGACGATATCATTAAGCATTGCATGTTGGAATTTCTTCTTTAAAACTGAAATAAGCAGCACTATGACGTGGCTTAACGTTACTTTGGACTTTCTTGAGGAAACTGCAGAATTCCAATGTCTGGATTTTTTCCCAGAGTTTTGCTTTTTAAAAGAGGTGCTTAGATGAAATGGAAAGCTGGAAGTTACTGATGGAAATTTCCATCACATCTGCTGCAGTTACTGTTGTTCTTCTATAGGAGTGCCCAAAGCAATACTGCTGGTCACAAACTTCTTAAAAGATTGTTGGTGAAGAAGTTAGAACTGCTTATTAAACCAAAATTAAAATCATTATTGCATAATCTTTATCTCAGTGAGGCATTTTGAACCTGAACTAGATTTGTCTTTCAATAAGAACAGTGGACCTGAAAGTTGAATACGTGAGTTCTGAGGATGCAAAACATTCCAAGACAGGTGTACTGCTTTCTTTTCATTCTGTTTTTATTCTCTAATGCACAGGTGCCTTGACCCAAGCCATTCGCAATTTTGCAAAAAGCCTTGAAGGTTGGCTTTCAAATGCCATGAACAATATTCCACAGAGGATGATACAAACCAAGGTAGACAAAACTGTTACAATATGATTCTTGCAATGGCAAACCAAGTGGGCAGTAGCATCTTAACTTAAAAGCAGTAGAATTTTAACTTTAATGCTAAATTTCATGTTTAGCATCAAGCATCAAATAATGGGAGAGGAAATAACGTTATTTGATTTGCTACATGGACATAATTCAAATATGAGGACTAATTAATAAAAACTATTAAAATGAAAGTAAAGATTCAATCTGTAGAATTAATCTACAGATACAGAGTATGGTATTTAAAAAAAAATAAATTTCTTCATAGGTTGCCGCTGTAAGTGCCTTTGCCCAGACTCTGCGAAGATATACATCTCTTAATCACCTGGCTCAAGCAGCTCGTGCTGTGCTTCAAAATACTTCTCAAATCAACCAGATGCTCAATGATCTTAACCGTGTTGATTTTGCCAATGTTCAGGTAAAATGTAATTTTAAATAACAGACTTTTTTTTAAAGTGTTATTTCCTCTGTGATTTTGGACTTTATTGTTAGCTGTCATTCTATCAAGAAAGTAAAGTGGAAACATTTTGCTCATTCATATATGTAGTGATTCAGTCCAAGTGTGATGGCTTACACTTTAGAAAAGTAAGAGCTCAAAACCATTTTCTGTTTTCATTTACTGTCTTGAAACACATATATTCTTCCAACTTCTATGCAAATGTAAAGCAAATACATTCTTAGAATGGGTACCATGAATGATGTCATAATAATAGCAAATCTTATATTTTAGGATTAGATCTCAGTAGCATATCTTCTGAATGTCTCTTAAAGCTATTACATGTACAACATTTTCAGTAGAGACTGCCTCCATTATTTAAAAACCCATACCATTAGTATATTTTATCTAAGTGCCTATACTTAAAATGACAAGATTTCCTGAATAATGGATTAGATTAGTACAGATGCAAATCTGTAGAACAGAAGTTTATATTTTTACTAAGCTTGATTTCTGTACATGTTTCTGCTCCTCTGAAAAAAAATACTTTCATCCTTTTAGCCAGCAAAGTGAAAGGTTTGGTATTCCTGCTAGCGCTCTGTTTCTCTCTTTTCTTTGTGAAGGAGTGTTTGGTACTTGTTAATAGTCTTAACAGAAGTCAGTCAAGAGTTCTTGACCAAAGAGAAAATATATTAAATATAGATGGTCATGGATGCAGAGCCTGTGAATGAGGTATTAACTTGGCTCATGATAGCTAGAGCTTAAGGAGATGACTTGCAGTTAGTGAGCCCTCATTTTTGTCTCAGTTTATGAATTGATCAGCTAACTTTATTTAAACTTGGTAACACTGCTAAATTGCTGATTATTGGATGCTAGTGTGCTTCTCCATTTGTGTGCAGTTTATGTTGTACTTCAAGTAACGCGTGATCTGTTACTGCCAAAAGTCAGCAAACAGAACAAGCTTTGTTTTCATATGAAGTTACTTTTATAATACAGAATTTGTCTTTAGGCTTAGCTTCTTCGGAACTAAAGGAACCTTGTACTTGATTTCTCGCTACTTTCTTTTATTACTTTACCCCCCCCCCATTTGACTCTTCCTCCTGCCTGAAGTACCAGAAAAGAATGACAAATCAAGAATATTTCAGTAGAAAAATGAGGAAAGTAGAAGCCTTTTTTTGCAAATGAATGTGGAAAACTACAACAAACTTGTGTTGCTTCCATTGTTTTTTCTAATTTCTGGATTTGATGTCTGCTCTTACATGCTATGCTTTTCCTACTCATTTGCTTCCAACAAAGTTACAACAGACATAAAAATAAAAGCTGCTTCTTAGTTTGTCTAGTAAGTGGATTTTGTCCTTTTCACCCATTGAATAGCTTAATCTTTGAGATATAATTACATTCTGTGCTTTGGCTTATGTATTGTCAATTCAAGATTTGCCATGTGCTGTAACAGGAGCAGGCTTCCTGGGTGTGCCAGTGTGATGACAACATGGTTCAGAGACTAGAAACAGATTTCAAGATGACTCTTCAACAGCAGAGCACTCTGGAGCAGTGGGCTGCCTGGCTTGATAATGTAATGATGCAAGCGTTGAAACCATATGAAGGAAGACCCAGCTTTCCTAAAGCCGCACGGCAATTTCTGTTAAAATGGTCTTTCTACAGGTAGTATTTAATAGACTTCTAAAACATTCTGTCTGTTTTATTATTTGCCTAATTGTGTAGTGCAGTAAGGTTGATAAATGTAATATTAAACAGTGGCTTAGTACATTGTGAAAAGCATGGGGTTTTTTTAGAGTGTTGTTGTTGTTAACCTTGAACTCAAGGCTGTCTGCAAATGAGCAGGGACTTAAGTGACCCTTGTTTATTTTTTTAAAGGCCATCTGCAAAGGAGTGCAGGTGGAATTTTGTCCATAGTTAGAAACATAATATGAATTTTTTTGATTGAATAACTGCAATTATAAAGCCACTGGTTTTTGTATTATTTATTAAAACATTGTGGCATCTATGTTTATTAGGTAAGGAAGACAAAACCTGCTTTTAATGTATGAAAAGAACATTAAGAGAAGCATTCCGTGTTAGCTGCTAATTGAAACGGTTATCAGAGTAAACCTTGTTCTTTGAACATGACTGTAGCAAGATATGCTTGCTGAGCATATCTGAATTTGTCCATATAATATTAGGAAGCAAGTCTATTTCTTGTAGTTTTAAGTTTCAAAGTTTTCAAAGTTTTAAGTTTCAAATTTTTCAAAGTTTTAAGTTTCAAAGTAATTGTGGCAATTAAAACCTTTATCCTGGGAAGGTGGACACAACAGACACTAGTTAAGCAATAGTTTGGTTTTAAAATCAAATATTTTTTTTACCATTTTAGCTGTTTATGTTTTCAACAAAGTTTCTTTCAAGTTAAGTTTTACACTTGCTCAAGTATTGGTAGTTATGCATAGAAAACAAACCAACCAGTCTGGTTATTTCTTGTGTAGTTTGATATCCAACAGTACCTTCAGAGAAAGAGAAAAAACAAATGATTGACTTTCCTGGTCATCTCTTTCCAAAGATACCATAAATGAGACATTTGTGGATAATATTACTTTTGAGAATATTGGTTTCTAGGTGAAATGTGTACATGGATAAATGTTAAAATGGCTGTGACATATAATACATAAATATATATATTTTTTATTTTTTAATAGCTCAATGGTGATTCGAGATTTAACCTTGCGCAGTGCTGCTAGCTTTGGCTCTTTTCATCTGATCCGCTTGCTTTACGATGAATACATGTTTTACTTAGTAGAACATCGTGTTGCTCAGGCAACAGGAGAGACACCTATTGCAGTTATGGGAGAGGTAAGATAATATGTAAGAGACTAGACTGATAGATTTAGTGATGAATTTAGGAAAGTGTCCTTGCAAATTTTTAAACATTTTTGTGGAGTGGTAGGATATTCTGCAGTTTAACAATAGATTGGGTTACAAATATATACAATAGTTTCAAACTTGTTTCACCGATTCGTTGACAGAGTACTAAAACCACACTGAATTGTAAAAACCAATTCTTTCTAAATGAACTTGCTCTTTTACAGATCTGCACACAGATTCATGTGCACAGTTTGAAAAATGTTGATCAACATACAACCTTTTTCCAGTTTTTGAGAACTGAATATTTTATGTGGAAATAAAAAAGAGCAGAGTAATAGGAAAATGTTACTTCTGTGAATCTGTTTAAATGCATTTGCACATGCTTTGAATTCCCACACAAAACGTATTGACTTAAGAAGGATGGTTTACGTGCAGAATTTTGTCTCATACAGTACTGTTCACATAATAAAACCAGCGCATACACAGAGGTTTGCAACACGTCTGATTTTCATACATGTGTTTCAAAGATTACTGGTTTAAGAAGCAGAACTAGAGTCTCAATTTGTAACAATTTTTTTTACTCATCTGTGGCATCTGCAAGGCAAAGTTTATTTTATCCCTCTTCTTTCCAGTACTCCATCTAACCTTTTATTTTGAGTGGGCTAGTGAGGAATGCATGAATTGTTACCAAAGAATTATGTATCCAAAGTACTGGAAAATGGATATATTTAAAAATATGGTCGTTAATAGGATGGATTTGTTACATTTTTACACTTGGGAGTCACTATCCTATTCTATGTTACCAATAAATTGCAAGTCATTTTGCTCGTTGATTTGGCATCAGTTATCATTCTTCCCTCAGGATATATTGATAGCTTCATTAAATACTAAAAATAGACTATATACTTTCAAGAGAAATTGGAAAATGTCTCGGCTTTATTTGTCAAATGATTTTATATCATGTGTCATGTTTCAGAAAAACTAAATAACATTTCTGCTTAGTGACCACCATCAGTATACATGCTCCTACATTTTTTGCCTACTTTTACTTTGCAGTAAGTACCACTCAAGTGTACAGTTACTACATTCTTGTTGCCTTAACAGACTTGTATGTGTTAGACATAAATGTAGAATAAGGTCTTCTAAAAAGTTTATGATACTGAAGATGGAAATACAATAAGAAGTAAGTATTGCAGAACTTTCAGAGGTGAGGTGAGGTGAGGTGAGGAACAAAATAGAAGTAATGCATTAAATGCATTACTGTGTATTTCTGTGTATTCAGTGGCTGTGTGGCTGAAATAAAAGAGGAAGACTACAGTCCCAACAAACACTGTAAGACAGTATAGTGTTGCATCTGAGAAAAGCACTCACATATTTCTCCCTTCCTCTTCTCCCACCTTTGGACACAAGTATTGGCAAAATTCTTCTGAAAAAGAGTGGTGTCATCATTTTTGCTTAGAAATGTGTTTATCTAAATAGTGTGCTCCTTTCATTTGAGATTCATTGGTGGCATTTTGCTAGGCTCCTAGCTTATGAGAAACTTGTTTTAAGAGGTCTGGATTTTGATGTAAATCAGCTGTCAGGTTATAAACCCTTTCTCAGCAGTGCCTTTCATCTGCCTTACAGGTAGATTAGCAACTGTGACAAACCCTCATTTTTGTTCCAGCATAATAAAATTCTCTCTGGAAAATTTTAAAAAAAGGTTTTGTTAAAATATTGGCAGTTCAGAATGTATATCCGTCATAATTTATGGCTTTATAAAGCACAGAAGTAGCTCACTTCAAGCAACAAATGCCCTTATGAAGCAATCTTTTAAAATGTTTGTAGTTCTCTGTTTTAATTTTTGAGGGTTTACTTAGTGATAATTGTCTTAGTAAGTGCCAGACTGAGATGGAATGGGAAAAGAATCACTCTGCTATGGATGTGGTTGCAGCTAAGATCATGTGTTTGAATGCTAGCGTGAAACCAGTGGAGCACAGTGGAGCATAGATATTCTAAGTTCACATTTGCTTAAGACTGTGTCCAGTTTTTTTATTGTTTATTTCACAGTTTGGTGATTTAAATGCTGTATCCCCTGGAAATATGGATAAAGGTAAGCATTTTAATATCTCCAGTGTATAATTATTTGTAGAGGTAATGTGAGCAAAAGAAGTCCTTATGTTTTAAAAACACAGTAAAACCAAATTTAGAGCTGTATCATCCTCTAAAGTGCATGTGTATGTTATATGGATATGTTATTATATGGATATGATAGCTATCTATGTAATATGTCACATGTAACGATGACTAGAATATTGTAGGTTTCTTTTAAAATAAGAACCTTATTTTAAAGATGTTCATTATTGTCACAAAAAAAATCCAATTCTTGTTCAGAATTTTTTTATATCTGGTAGGACAGAGGAGAGTAACAGCTGTGGGAAGAAAGACAAGAGTATACTTTTGTATATTTAACTGTAGTGAATGTTTTACTAAGCAAAGAAGGCAGAATTGTATCCAAGTATTTAAAAAGCAGTGAGTTCCTTATAACCTCTTCATGCCATATTTTGACATACATTCTTATGCTGATTCTTGAGTGATTTGGGGTGACTTAACCTCAGAACACTCAACTAATGAGTATAAGAATGTATGTCAAAATTAGGGATCAAGTCACCACAAATCTTCTTGCCTCAGTTTCCCTGTCTGTAACTAAGAGTAACAACTCTTCTGTTTATCCTGTCTTAGAAATGAGACATTTTGCAATACGAACTTAACACTTTGTTAGAACTTTTCTTTGAGGTTGCAGTTGTTTTTTTCACATACTGTGTCAATAATATGTAACTCACGTGATTAAAGCTGAGTCCATTTACCTATTTGAGATAATAGTTGACTTTTTCATTAAAATTTAAAATTTTCAATTTCTACTATGTCGCAGATTGCTAGTCTTCCTTGTAGTTTTGTATTTCAAATATTATTTGCAAAATAAAGACCCTTGTATTAGAATTTTTCCCTTTGTGCTATTTACATAGTGGTTTGTTTGTGCAGATGAGGGCAGTGAAGTTGAAAGTGAAATAGATGAAGAGCTGGATGAAAGTGGAGAGCCACAAGCCAAGAGAGAGAAAACTGAGCTAAACCAGGCATTCCAGGTGGGCTGCATGCAGCCAGTGCTCGAGAGTGGAGTACAGCAGAACCTCCTGAACCCAATTCATAATGAGCACATTGTTGCAACTACCCAGACTATCAGACAATGCAGTGCTACTGGAAATACATATACTGCAGTCTAATGTGAAACCTCCCTCGCCTCCAACACACACCCCATTGCATTAGTCCTTTAGGTTTAATATGAAAAAGCTAAAAAAAAAAAAAAAAAAAAAAAAAAAGAAAAAGAAGAAAAAAGATAATAAGTCTGAAGGTTGACTGTTGTCAAATTTAGCTGTTCTGATCATTATTTTGTTGGAGTTAAATGGAATGGGTGTATGTGTTTTGCCAGATCTGTTTAAAAAAAAAAATTTTTTTTGTAAACAGATTGATTTTACATTGGCCACTCAGTAGCGAGGGTTTTCTTCTTATGAAATGCAAGATTTTTGCAAAGCTTAATGTTAATGTTTTGTCCTCTTATAATAATTTAATTTTTTCATAGTTTTTAAAAAATATTTTAATGTTAATTATTAGTTATGATGCTGATTTCATATAGATAGGTTTTTAATTAGATGCACTTCTGTGAAATATCAAAGGAACTATTTTCTTTGATTTACACTGGAGGCATACTTATTTGACAGCAGATGTATCAAATTTGTTATAAAAGGTGCTTTTCATCGTACTACGAGAAGACACTATTTTGATAAAATTGTGAGTATTCAGGGGGATTTTTTTGTAATAATGCTGGAGGGTTGAGAAGATCTCGTTTCTTTCTGTGAGGAAGAAGCGTGTTTAAATGACAGAAATATAAAGAATGTGGTAATCTGTATGGCATAAACGTACCTAATTATCTGACCATGATGTAAACAATGCAAGCTTCCTTTAAAATCAACAGTTTCAGATATTATTTGCATACCAGTTCCTCTCTTTTGAAGACTACTGATTCTATATGTGAGGCCACTGAACAGATGCTTTTGGCTGTTCAGTGACACTGTAGTTGTTAGAAACTGAAGCTAAAAAAGAAGTGACTTGATTATTATTAATTTTAAGTGTATGTGCTACTTATACTGAACTGGACATACAGGAAAACATTCCATTTGGATGACTTTCTTCTATTCCAGGTCTTTTCCTACTAGTGGTTCAATCTGCTGCTCTTAAAAAAGATGATTTATAGAATGCAAGGAATGTAGCAACCTGCATCATTTTCCTTTCAAAAACATTTCCTTGTTGTTAAAGTGGATTTAAATTTTTACAAAAATTAGACAAGGCAGTGTAACTGGCACACCTCACTTGTACTTATTCCCAATTGTGTAGAATTTGAATAGGTGGCTAGATGGACCATTGCCATTTAAGAATGTACATCAGGGATCATTGTACCTCGGCTATTACATGGTGCCTTAAACAGAACTGAAGCTAAGACTTAGTACTTTCTGTTATTCTTAACTCTTAAATTAATTCAACAAGGTGTGCCTGTCATTTTCAAATTCCCTAAGAAGTAAGGACAGGTTACATAGCCTTCAAAAGAATAAAAGGATTTTTTTATTATTATTAAATGATTTTAATATCCCTCTTAGAATGACAGTAAACCTATTTTTTCTTGTTTCTAGCTGGATTTCACTTTAATACAAATAAAATTTGCTTGGGAATTTGGAAAGCAAAACTAGCTTTAATACCAACTTCAAATGTCAAAATAGATTGACCATAGTCCCAAGCATGATTATATATTTTCTAAATCCTTGCCTACTTTTAATTTTAAAAACTAAAAAGAAATAAATGAGCAGGTGCATAATGCAGTGCATGTTTTCAATTTCTATATTTTGTGGGGTATCAGCCAGATATTACATTTTAATGGTTAAACAATAACAGTTTATAGAGACCATATTAATTGACAATAAAGAACTCAAGTTTTTCTTCATAAACATTTCATTAAGCAGACACATGAATTTGCTACACTAAATAGTGGAATTAAATAAGAAAAAAAAAGCCAAAAAGTAAAGGAGAACACAAAAAGATCAACTTTACAGAAAAGACTGTGTAAGAAAATTAGGATTCTTTTATTCTGGTTAACTACTGTGTCTGACAATGACTTTAAAATCATATATACCAAATAGGAGAAGAGCATGTAAAATGGAACAGTGTATTTATAGCAAACAAGTTTGTTGCTAGAGTTTACATGTGCTCCAAATACAGCTGCACATAAGTGAAAATGTCCTAACATTATTGGTGCACAAAAATAAATTTTAATTCCTTTGCAGAATGGTGAACCCATACAGCTCATTCTGTGTAGGCGTAATTCCTACTAATGTCAGTAGATGGCTTTTGCCTCAGTAAAAAGTAAACGTGAGGTTTATATTCATTATTTCTAAACTCATAAATGCACTGAATCTCATTATAGATTTTGTTGCCACATATATCACTCAGTGTGTCCTGATTTTTCCTTAGAAATCAGCACATCTGTACCCTTCACCAAAAATGCTAAAACTAAGCTGTGATAAATATTTACTCCCCTTCATTGTGCATTATAAGATGTTTACAAGTAAAATAAAGTGAAATAATTCAACACTTTTTTTCATTTTCAGCTTTTTATTTTAATACTCTAGTACTTGTTTAAATTTTTGTGTTGGTTTGTGTTTTCTTATTATTAACCTTTCTTGGTTTAATGTTGAATTTGTTGTTGCTGAGGAAAGAGTACGATTGTAAAAGGTAAATACAGATTGCTAAATATGATGGGACTTGAGTATCTTCATTATTTAGCTCCCCACTCCATTCAGTTGTTCACTGTCACAAAGTGAAAAACAAAACTGAACAAAAATCTGAATACAAAAAAAGGGAATGTATTTCATAGCTTCTAAAAACAATGTGTTATCAAAACAAATTGGAACTATCCCAGGTTTGGAAAACTGACTGGAGTCTGTATTCTTATGCTTAAATTCTAAAGGATTTTACCTGATTTTTTTTAGAGCAACTGTCTTACTGTAAACTGCATTGTATACTTACAGATTTGGGGGTTTCCTGTTTTATTTTTACTGAAAATTTAATCAAACAGATAAAACATTTTGCACACTCTTGCTATTTAATAGTTGGGTTTTAGTACTCACTGAACTACAGAGATACCAATACCTCAGTCTGTCTTCTGTAATGTGTAGTGTGTGGTTGCACTGCCACACCAGCTCTGGAGTCCATTGTCAGTGCTATGGAGAGGTGTAGCATGTGTCCACAGGGTAGACATGATGAGAGCTGACATGATTTATGTGTTTTATCTGCTCTTGAAACAGAATCCAGAATAATTATTTTAGAGGCATTTCCCCCATTAGCACAAGTAGCACAGTGAACAGTGTGGGGGAAGAGGTCTTGTTGAACTACCTTTTCAAAAGTAGGGCCCAATTTTCAAAAGTTTTACATTTATTAAAATTTGTTGGTACATTTCCATCTTTCTCATGGTAAACTAGTTTTAAAGCTTCTCTTTTTTTCAGTTATTTTTCTCTTGTACTGTAGTGTGCTCTAAGCACCTTCATTTTTAAAAAGTTCCATAAAAATTTGGAAAATAGTTGTTAAATTATTTGCCTATAAGATGATGATTTACAGCATTAATGCCTTTAGGTCAAAAAAAAGAAAAAAGATAATGTTCTGTCATTCAGAAAGGCATAGGTCTATATACAAATTTAATTTAAAGCAAGGTATTTTTAAATATCTGAAACACTTATTTTTTTCACCTTGTTTTCATAGGAGAAATGGTCTGATATCATTGTCGTTCCCACCAATTGATGTCTGCACTGTTTAGGAAATTTTATGTTAGAGATGCACTGCAGTCCAGTTTAATTCAGAATGTTTTTACAAAAAAACCCCAACCACTGAGAGCCATAAACATGCTAACAAAAAAAATATTTATTAGTAATAGAAGTATACAACAATAATTTCAGAGTTTAAAATATTAATTTGAGAGAGCAGTGTGAATTTCTGAAAATTGGGCCCTTGTCACACTAACAGGACATGGTCTTTGTGTATGGTTTAAAACAAATCAATACATGGAATTCTAGTATCTCTGCTAATTGGTTTGGTGATTTAACAGAGACAATAAAAACTGGAATAGAAGCATAAACACACAGTGCTTAGTTCTAGTATTAGAAAATTAATTTGATAAAATGCCTTGCATTAACCCTTTGAGCATTGTAAGTAACATGATGGGAACAAAGATTTTTAGATAATTTAATTAGTCCATTGACAATATACTTTGAATAGCTGATAGTGTTGTAAACTTTTTTTAATTATGTGTAAGTAAATACTTGCATACTATATGGGGATGTTTTTTATTACTAGGAGGCTGAATAGATGTAGGCAAAATATTCACTGCCATTGATGTGTACTGTCTAATAGAAAACAGTACTTCAGCTCCCTGGTTTTCATAGTTGCATATATTTATAAAGAAAATCAAACATATGATTCTACAAATAAGAAGTTGTCTACTTTAAGATGCCTTTAGAAGATAAAGGTTTAGAAAATATATTCAGCTATTTTGAAAATCTCCTAAGGTAGGTTAGTATTGGAATACTCTGGTACTGTAAAAGAGAATCTTTAGGATTAAAAGAAGGCTTAGTAATAATAAATTTTGCAGAATAAGTGTGTTTGCATTGAAATTCTTGGCAGTGTTTTTGAGAAACGGGAACAAAAAGTGCACAATTATATTGATATTCCTTTTAAAACTCAGTCACTGCAATAATGACTAGCTAAAAGATTAAGGTATTTTATTAAATTTCACATACAAGGGTACAGTTTGGATGGCCCTTACTGAATGTCAGAATTTTAAGAGCAACCTAGAAATTGCACGAGCAAATATTTTAGGAAGCCCCTATGTTCTTACAATTACTGCTTATAAGAACAAGGGAACAAGCGTAGCAGCAAGTAAAGATTCTTTTAACTTAGAGATACTGATGCCACCTTACTAAGTGAGAGTACATTTTCTACTGGTTTCTTGCAATATCAGTGAGTCAGCAAACACTAAAGCAGCTGTACTTATTTAAGTCTAGCTGAGGGCAAAGAGAAAGGGTATCATTTTAAATTATTTAAGGGAATTACGTCAGTAGTATAGTGCAAGTGAGTTGTAAACATTTTTAGTCAGTTAATGCAAATTAATGCATAATTAAATAACAAATGCAATACTCAAAGGGTTTTAATTTAACAACTTTTTTTATTCATAATTTACTGTAAATGCTTCTGAGTTTGCATGCCTTGATCATTGCTGCTAGTGATTTTATGTGCCAGTAGACCTGAGTTTAATTTACCAGTTTAACTAAGAAATAGTAAAAGCCACTTACAAAGTGACTGCCTAGTGTTTGTTTGAAGTAAAATATGCCTTAGTTTGAAAATGATCATTTTAACTCTTGTTTTATTCTGATTTTTTTTTCCTTTTCCTGTTGAAAAAATAAATTGGCATTTTGGAATTGGAAGCCCTGAGTAGTTAAATATTTGGTAAGAATTGTTCTTGGAGATTACTCATTAAGGCTGAAATTCACTGTAGAAAACAAGGCCCAGAACAAGCCTATGGGCATCAAATGAGCCTCACTTAACACTAATTCAGGAAAATGTTCTTTGTTCTTAAGCACTTTCTTGATTATAGTGCAAACATCTTACAGGAGTTTTAATTCTGGATTAATTTTACTCTGAAATAATAAATGTCTTTGTAAGAGGAATTTAGAGTTCAGAGGAACAACATTGCATAGATTGGTATTTACCAGGAACTCAGTTCAATTTTTTTTTTGACTTTCTGATACCAGCGAAATCTTTTTACACAAAGAATACTTAATGGGTTCCCCAATTAAAGTTTCCTTCTATACAATATTAAAGTGATTGCCTTGTATTTAAACATTAAATATCCATCTTAGAGTAACGCAGTTAAGCAATTTAAAATATGTTAGGAAAATACCACTTTGTACCAAAGCAAGTTGCCCATCTCCACTCATCCCCACTGAAAATTTGGATTTACAGTTAATAACCAATGAGGCTGTTAAAGAAACTTTGAGTGCCTTTCAAAAACTTGGAAAATTGTGCCTGAGGTGGTAAACTTTAATTAGGTTAATTCTAGAGCTACCAATCAGTAATTTTATCATCACTCAGGGCTTTCTTACCTTCTAGGAAACTTCCTTTGTTGCATTTATTTTATACTGTATTTTTTTTAAGTGCCATCATTTAAATTTCACTTAGTAAGTGGCAGATTACATTATCCAATCCCACAGCACAGAAACATCATAACACTAGGACATATTCAAACTCTTATTTTCCAGTTGACTGAATATATTATGTAAATGAGGTAAGCAACTTTTTGTAGATTGTATGTGTGAGATAATGTAATGTTCTTTTCCAGTTTTTGGGCTACAGTTGAATATACTTTTTAATTATTTAAAGAAGACATCTTTACAGAATAACGTGATGGTTTTTTTTGTATAATGTATTTGATTTTGTAAATACGTATTTCCTGATGTGATTTTTGTGACAAATGCTAAATCTTTTAGTATATAATGTCCTCTCAAAACTGGCAGGAGCTAAATAATAGTTTATGGGCAATTTGTATTGTGTACTGTACAATAACTGGGGACCTTTTATAATTATAAAAATATATATTAACTTTTAGTGTGTTGTTTAAAAAAATGACTGGAACATACTAAAGACAGTAGGATTTTTCTGAATATTTCAGACTTGAACTCAGGCTAGCTTTCTTGTGTTTTTCAAAACAAAATTGTGTCTTGTCTTTTAAAATCAATAAATTTGTTTTCTTGTTACAAACATATCTGAATTGCTTCGGTTTTTATATAGCCAGATATTTTGGATTGTTGTACTACTAATTTTGAGAGAAAAATTATTTCAACTTACACCTTCTAAATAAGATCACATTTTTTTATTTCACAGCAACAGAACTAAGTAACAAATGTGTCTCAGGTGGCAAAAGAAACAAGAATTGTTGAGATTGGAAGGGACCTCAGGAGATCATCTAGTCCAGCCCTCCTTCCAAGACAGGGTCACCTAAGAAATGTCAGTTCAATTAAGTAGCTTTCACATCCCCAGTAAATAGAGACTGTAATATTCTTATTAATTTCAATATTAACAGTAATTTCCCATTACAGATTTAGCTAGTTAGCAGTGAGGGGCACGCAGACTTTGGTCTTTGGGAATTAGTGGTGTCAGTTTGTTACCAGTGGGACCTACTTCTGCAATTTTTGCTCTAAATATTCTGCAATTTTTGCACTACATATTCTGCAATATGTTAATGTGTTAGATGTTTTGACAGTTTCACAAAACATAGATGAAGGCCTAATCTTACTGGGTCATGTATCTTACGGGGCTCTCATTGCAGGTACTGTTTATATAAAGAAATGCAGAATTTTAATCAGGAGGACCCACTAAGTAATAGATGCTAGAACATCAAAATGACTGTTGGATACCAAGCTTAAAACAGGTATTTCACATGAAAGTATGGTAAAAGTAGAAAAATTGCATCCTAAAGCTCACTTTTCTTAGGAAGTTCAGCTGTAAGTTATGGTCCAGTTATTGCCTATTCTTTAATTTCAAATAAAGACCAAAAGCTTAGTAGAGTACAGTACTGGTCCCTGGAATGCATCCTACCAAAGAAGACTACAACTTCAGCAGTGACCAGTCACAGCTATAGAATCATAGAATCATCAAGGCTGGAAGAAACCTTTAAGGTTGTTCAACCATCCACCCAGCACTAACACTGAAACCCCTGAACCACTAAACCATCACCTAAGTGCCAGATCGAGACACCTCTTAAACACCACCAGGGATGGTGATTCCACCACCTTCCTAGGCAACCTGTTCCAATGCCTGACCACCCTCATGGTGAAAAAATGTTTCTAATATCTAATCTGAATCTCCCCTGTTAGTTTAAGGCCATTTCCTGTTGTCCTCTCACTGCAGGCATGGTAGAAGTGACTGGCCCCCACCTCACTACAACCTCCTTTCACGTACTTGTAGAGAGCAATGAGGTCCCCACTGAGCCTCCTCAAGACTAAACAAACCCAGCTCCCTCAGCTGTTTCTCATAAGATGTTATCTAAATCTTTCACAAGCTTTGTTGCCCTTCCCTGGACACGCTCCAGCACCTCAATGCCTTTTTTTAAGTGAAGGGCCCAAAACTGAATGCAATACTCGAGGTGCAGCCTCACCAATGCTGCATACAGGGGAATGATCACTGCCCTAGTTCTGATGGTCACACTATTTCTGATGCAGGCCAGGATGCCATTGGCCTTCTTGGCCATCTGGGCACTGCTGGCTCATGTTCAGCTGCTTTTGACCAGCACCCCCAAGTCCCTTTCTGATGAACAGCTCTCAAGGCACTCCTCCCTCAGCCTGTAGCGCTGCCTGGGGTTGCCGTGACCAAGTGCAGGATGGGGCACTTGGCCTTGTTGAACCTCATACCATTGGCTTCAGCCCATTGATCAAGTCTGTCCAAATCCCTCTGCAGAGCCTTCCTACCCTCCAGCAGATCAACACTGCCACCCAACTTGTTGTCATCTGCAAATTTACTGTGAGTGCACTCAATTCCCACATCCAGATCATCAATAAAGATGTCAAACAGAACCCAAGACATGGGCCCAGTACTGAGCCCTGGAGAACACCACTGGTGACCAGCCACCAACTGGATTTAGTTCCATTCACCACCCTTCTCTAGGCCCAGCCATACAGCCAGTTTTTTACCCATTCAAGCTGCGAGCAGTGACATTTTCTGGGAGGATGCTGTGGGAAACAGTATCAAGGGTTTTACTGCAGTCCAGGTAGAAATTTCCACAGCCTTCCACTCATCTACTAAGTGGGTCACTTTTTTATAGAAGGAGATCAGGTTGGTCAAACAGGACCTTCCTTTCATAAATCCGTGTTGGATGGGCTTGATCCCCTGGTTATCCTGCATGCTGTGTAATGTGGGTTATGGATTTGTTCCATAACCTTGCCTGGAACTGAGGTAAGACTGACAGGCCTCTAGTTCACTGGATCATTCTTTCAACCCTTCTTGTAAATGGGCGTCACATTTGCTAATTGCCGTCGTCTGGAACTTCTCTGGTTAACCAGGATTGCTGGTAGGTGATTGAGTGTGGTTTGGCAAGTTCTTTTGCCAGCTCTGTCATTAGTCTGGGCTGGATCCCCCCAGGGCCCATGGACTTGTGAATGTCTGATTGGCATAGCAGGTCACTAACTGTCTCCTGGATTACTGGGGCTTTGCTCATCTTCCCATCACCAATTTGCAGCTCTGGGAATTTCTGAAGCTTGGTACCCTGAGGACAAGTGGTATTGATTTTGAAGACCAAGGCAAAGAAAGCATTAAGTACCCTCACCCTTTTCCTCACCCTTTGTCACTACACTGCCCTCTGCATTCAACAGATGATGGAGACACTCCTTGACCCTCCTTTTGCTGCCAGTGTATTTATACAAACTTGTTGTCTTTAACTGCAGTGGCCAAATCAAAGTTTAGTTTGGCTTTGGCCCTCCTAATTTTCTCCCTACATGATCTTGCAACATTCTTATAGTCCTCCCAAGTTACCTGGCCCTCCTTCCAGAGACAATAGATTCTCTTTTTCGCCCTAAATTCCAGCCTGAGTTCTCTGTTTAATCAGGCCAGTCTTTTTAGAGATGACTTGTCTTTCTACACGTGGGGGCAGCCTGCTCCTGAAAATTTAGTCATTCCTTCTTAAAGAACGTTGAGCCTTCCTAGACTCCTTTGCCCTTCACAACTGGCTCCCAAGGGACTCTGTCAATCAATGTCCTAAACAGCCAAAGTCTGCCCACTGGAAGTGGGTGCTGGTGTCTCTCCTTACTTCACCCAGTATTGAAAACTAACCTTTTGTGGTCACTCTGCCCAAGACGGCCACTGACCACCACATCACCCACTAGTCCTTTGTTCACTGTTGTGGTTTAACCCCAGCCAGCCACCAACCCCCACGGAGCCACTCACTCACTCCTCCACCAGAAGAATCAGGAAGAGAATCAGAAGGGTAAAAGCCAGAAAACTCATGGGTTGAGATAAAGACAGTTTCATAGGGAAAGTAAAAGCTGCACACACAAGCAAAGCAATGCAAGGAATCCATTCACTGTTTCCCATGGGCAGGCAGGTGTTTAGTCATCTCCAGGAGAGCAGGGCACCATCACATATAATGGTGACCTGGGAACACAAACACTATCACTCCTCCCTCTTCCCCTCACTTTATATAGTAAGCATGATGCCGTATGGTCTGGAATATCCCTTTGGTCAGTTTGGGTCATCTGTCCTGGCTGTGTCTCCTCCCAACCTTCCCTGCACCCCCAACTTCCTCACCAGTGTGGGAACAGGGAAAGCAGAACAGGCTTTGGCTTTGAGTTTGGCTTTGGCTCTGCACAAGCACTGCTCAGCAACAACAAAAACATCTCTATATTATCAACCCTGTGTTCAGCCAAAACACAGTCCACACAGCCTCTTGTGAAGAAAGTTAACTCTACTGCAGTCAAAACCAGCCCATTCACAAACAGCAGGCCTGGCAGGGCACCTCCTCTGGTGGGCTCTTTCACCAGTTGTCTCAGCAAGTTGAGTTCCACACACTCCTGGAACCTCCTGAACTTCTTCCTCTCTGCTGTGTTGTATTTCCAGCAAACATCTGGCAAGTTGAAGTTGCTCAGAAGTGAATGTGAGACTTCTCCCAGCTGCTTGTAGAGTGCCTCACCTATCTGTTCATAGTTGGGTGGTTTGTAACAGACTACCAACACAACATCCACCCTGCTGACCTTCCCTCTGGTCTTTGCCCATAGGCACCCAACCTTATCATCTTCATCATTGTCAAATCCAATACAATCATATCACCCCCTAATAGTGCTCTCCCATCCTATTCTATGTTTACAGAATACTCCTAACTGGTTTGCTAATTGAGACTGAGTCTTCATTTTCTAGTGGGTGCCTTGCTGAGACTAAATAGGTCTTCCTCTAGCATACGTGCACAGGAAAACAATCTGTAGGGGGATCTCACACCAACCAACTCTGGGTACAGCCAACAGCCTACATTGCTCAGCTCTTTTCTACTGACAGTGTTAGCAGGAAGACCCTGCAGAGTTCAACCTCTGTTGCTGTTGATATTAATGGAACAGGTTTAATTAGTTAACCAATGAAAGTTCAGGTCAGCATCCCACAGTACTAAACTCAGACCTCAAAGGATGAAATACAGCTAAAATGTAGGAGAAATTTTAAAACACTGGGTACTGTAAGAAAACATGAGGGTAAAAAGGATAATAAATGACATTTACTTTTATTATTTCTGTAAGGTAATTTTCTGCACGATGTTAATGATAGCAAATAAGTAAGATAAATTCTACATAGAATTATTTAAGTGTATTTAATTTGACTTACCTAAAGCATTGACTTCTATTATGTAAAATTGCATACAGTCTGTAGCAATCCAATGTGCATTAGTTGTTTAATTCCATATCAAGGTCTATGCTCAAAGCCACATGAAATATAAGCCAGGTATTTTCCCCCAAAGGCATCTAACCAAAGCAAGGAAGAAACCTTGATCCATTTTTGGCTCTGTTAGCAGTATGCTAGAGAGTGTTTTTATTCTTGCTTGGTTCTGCTGATCTCTTTAAAAATTTTGCTGAATCTCATTGTACATGTACTTCCCCAATACATGAATTAAGGGAACATTAGGACTTTTCTCTTCAAAAAACAAAACCCCTCCTTGACCAAAATGTGCTACTGCTGACAGTTTATTCTAAACATTTTATAAACAGAACTGTTCTAGTAAGAATAACTGTGTGTAGGCATTTTCCACAGGCAAATTGTGCACAAGGCCTGCTGCTGTTTTCATTATCTGAGTTGAGAGCAGACATAGTAGGTCAGTATTTATTTAGTAAACTAGCTGTTAATAACACAGACATACTTTCAGAAATCTAGATAGAAGAGGTATAAAACAATTGCTGTCTCAAGCTCCTTTTTCTCTGCAGCTGGATATTACCTTTATCCACAATGTAGTCACACTAATAGATGGAGGCTTGTCAGAGTTCTGGTTTATAGCCACCTTTGCTCGGACTGCTGCTAAAAGTGGTCAGTATTACTGCCTCCACTGGAGACATTTGTTGGTTAGCAAGCCCTGTTAGCCTGCTGAAAGCACAAGAGTGCTCAGGATTTTTTATCTTCTTTCATGAAGTATTACTAGCAGAACTGTATTGACAATATTTGAGTTAAAGCACAATTTAAGAGAGCTACCGGTAGTATTAGTATTGTGAATGCCCTTTAGTAGGTACTTCAGAAGAAGTGTTTGATAACCAGTCCTTTGCAGAAGCCACAATTTTAGGTTATGTCATCTTCCACCAATATTGAAAGATGTCAGAAGCAGCAGCAGAAGTTGCTATAACAACACATTGAAGTTAGGGTCACACACTGTCATTGCAACACAGGCATTGAATTTACTGGCCCATGTGAGTGACAAGGTGACTGTTGTTCAGTGTGGCAGCAATCACTTTATCCATTTATTTCCCTGGTCTTCAACAGTTTCTGATGCCGAAGAAAAATTTAGACTTCCCTCCTTCCTCCGGTTTCACCCAAGAAAGCCAAGCAGCCAAAATCAAAAGATGCAATAATTAACATAGCAAATGTGCAAGAGACAAGCATGTTAAAAATGGAACAGCCCTAATCATCACCACGTAAATGATACCCTTCTCTTTCTGTGAACTTCTGGTAGATGATCCATTTTGTGTGGGAAGCATAATTCTACCTGTACACTTTACCTCCATCCACTTTCTGGCAAATCCAAATCCGTGCTTCTACTACCTCAGCTGCATTAGAGGTAGATGAGAAAATGTCTTGTTTTGGGATGGTTCTGCTGACAAACTTGCCAGAATATCTAACAATATCTATGCTGAATAATGTACCATAACTAAGCTTTTCTATTTTTTCCTATTAAAGAGTATTTATTGATTTAAAATGCCTTACAGTATTAGTATTAGCAGCCCAACTGTAAAAGACTCTGAAATTCAAACCTAGTTCTATGTTACAGCACTTCTCACATGCTAAGTTGGTTTTTTGTAATCACCAATTCAGGTAGCTGGCTCAGTGTAGCTGGGAAATCCTCTCTTTTTACAACCATTCAGTCCTTTGAACACAGTCAGGGTGGGTGAATCTGCTTTCTTTCCAGAAAGCTAGACAGTATAGCCCAAGTCACCATTTGGGTCCAGAGAGCACTGGCATACATTCTACAAAAAAGTCTGGGAACAGAATGAGCAGAGACCAGTTTAAACGTCACATGGTACTTTTAAACACAAGAGCACTTCTCAAATACTGATTAATTAACCTTCTCAGTGTCTTTTTAAGACAGAGGCATACATACCAAAGTAACCGGCAGGGTTTGGTTTGGTTTTGGGTTTTTTTTTTTAAACTTTTACCGTGACGGGGGGAGCACGATCCAACAACAAGCAAATAATCCAGGGAAAACTTCTGTAACAAAATAGCGACACCCACTGCTGGATATCACAGTTACACCCTTACGCTCTTCGAAAATAAAGCGGAAGGGGAAACGCCACGGAGGGAGAAGCGAAACTCTAGGGGTTTGCGAACCTCCTCCTCCTCACATCGCTGCCACGAACCTCGCCTTCCCGTCCCAACAGAGGGATGCCCTTAAGCCCGCACACGGCCCATCCCCACCGGCCGCGGGCGCTCAGCAGGGAGAGATGGAGGGGCGAAGGGAGGGTGTCACGGCGTCACCGCCTCCCCGCCACACGAGCTCCGCTGCCTTCCCAGGGCGGAGCGACGCTGACGGGGAGGACAGAGGACGTAGCAACGTTGAAGGGTGAGGATGCTACTCGCCAGGGAGGGGCTGCCGGCAGGGCTGCAGGTCTCCAGCCCCGGTCAGAGCGCCCTGAAGCTGGAGAGGAGAGAGCAGGGCGTGACTGCGACACGCGGGTAAGCACCGCAGCTCCTCGGCTTTTCCCGCCGGGAAGCAGCTGGTCCCGGAGGGCACCGGGCACTTCTCCTCGCTGACGGCTCGGCGGGGAAGGGGCGCCGTGTCTCGCCGGGCTGCCAGCGCCGCTCGCAGCCCCGGCGCGGTGCCAGAGGCTCCCGCCGCCTTCCCTCGCCTTCCCCCCGCCGGCGGCCGGGTGAATGGGCCGCGACTGTCCCGGTGTGCGCTGTCCTGCAGCGCGGCACCACCCCGGGCAGCGCCGGGCTCGGAGCGGCAGCCCCGGCCCCCTCGGGGTCGGTCCGGCCCCTGGAGCGGGGGCTCTGCGGGGGCTTTCCTCGGGCACGCCGGGCTCCGCGGGGGGCCGCGGGAATGTGACGGCGCTAAAGCGGTGGCGAGGAGCCATCTGGGACTGCAGAGGAGAGTCCGGCGGGGAGCGCGGCGCTGCCAGGCGCTGTCCCGGCATGGCTGTCCTGAGTACGGGCGAGCCCGGCGGAAAGGCGCCGCTCCGCTGTCGGAAACTGCTCCATCGGGGAAAGTACAAGACTGGAGTGTCAGGGTCGTTTCTCCTCCCCGTTCCTGAGTTTGAAACTTCAGCCAGGAGTGGTCAGAAGAGGTCTTTCCCCCTCACCTGAAAGACCAGATATTGATTTCTTCCTGTGGAGACATACGGGAAAGACAGAATAACCAAGAGGAAAGGGAAGGAGGTAATGGAAGCCAGCCTGTAGCTGTATGAACAGAACCGCGTTTGTTTTGCTCTGAGGCTGCCGGCTCCCGCTGAGCTGGGAGGGCAGCCGAGCACGGCCGTGCCTTGGGATGCACTGTGCTGCTGGCAAAGTCCAAACTGGTCCGGAAGGATAGTGCTTTTAGCCCTGAAGTAATTCTCTCTGGCTCTGCTATTTGTAGATAGGCTCTGTTAAGTTGCACAGGTGATGTCTGCGTTCATACCTTTACTGGCTTTCTCAAAAGCAACCGTTCTTTCAGATTTGTGTCTTTACAGGGTATTAGAATAGCTGACATTTTAAAATAAAACAAACTGCTGGAATCTAAGACTGAAAAAAACCCAACTGAAATTGATGCACGTATAGAAAGTAATTAGAAATACTGTCGGTGAGGTGGGTGAACATGAGACCAATCCTGAGCTGTTCTGGACATACAATGCTTGTTGTGGCTTTGGTTTTTCAAAATGAATCTCAGTAACTAGATCTCATTCCTGTAGGCATTATCATGACCTCTTAAAGTTTGTTGCTATCATATCTTTATGAGTTTTTATCTCATGTAGAGCAGAGGTGGATAGCCACAAAGACTTTCAGATTGGAAGCTCTTCATGGAAGTGGGGGGGTTTTCAGATGTTTTCAGACTTCTGAAATGTAGACTGGTGTAGCAGCAAAATATTTATTTGTCATGTGAAGCCTCATGATAACATCTGAGTGCTTCCACCCCTTCCTGTATTCATCTTAACGGCCTTAATAAATAAGAAAATGCAATCATCTCTGTTTTATAGAAGAAACTGAAGGATGGCACAGCTATGGCTTACTACTCATTATGACAAAAAGCTTGGTTTTAGGTTTTAGTCTAGTAGCTTCTGCCACTAGACTAGTGACTGATTTTGCTTGTGAAATGACAAAGAAGGGGCAGCAGGGCACATGAGAAGAAAAAACTGTTGAAAGGCTGTAAACTACAATATAAGTAAAATTAACCTGACTTTAGCATTCCAGACATCTGTTCTGATTCTGCAGCTATTTGAGGTGATAAATGACCTACACAGATAAATCTGAATGTAGCTATACCATAGTAATGTGCAGTTTTCAAGCATTTGCCTGAGTAAGCAGCAATTTGCTTGAGATAGTTTGCAAATCAGGGATTTTTGATTAGACCTTAGAAAAAAGTCTCAGACATTGCTTCCAGCTGATTGTAATGGGCACCTCAGTGCCTTTGAAGATGTCACTGTGTGCCTGAGCAGACTGAGCATGCTTGGTCTGCTTATTTTGTTTAAGTGAATATTTTGTTAAAGATAAAAGACCCCTCATGTGTAAGAACTCCAGCATGACGAAACAGTGTTTTGAGACCTCTGATAGTTTGTTAGGCCTGTTTCTTACAAAGCAGGTTGAACCCTTTTCCCTGACGAACTTTTCCGTGAGATCATCAGTGGGGCTCTAAATTCCAAGCCAGTGTGTGATGTCGCTTAGAGGAAAGACAGCAAAGCTGCATTTCTGCACTGGCCCTGTGCCAGACCACCTGTTTGTAAACTCAGACCAATTTTCTTAGTAAAATTTCACTGCTGGAACTGGTGCTGGCTGCTGCTCTGCTTCACTCCCACCAGCTGCAGAGCCACTGTACCTCCTGCTCCACATCTGCAGGCAAAAGCATCACACACACTTGGCCCACCATCCGTCTGTGAGTTTATCCAACCTCCACCCTCTCTGGCTGGAACCAGGGCAGGGAGCAGCAGTCAGCGGTGTTTATGCAGGTTTGTCTGATTTTCCTGCCGTGAATCCAGGGAATAATCATTTTTTTCAGGGCAAGAGCAAAAGTGCTAGCCCAGGCAGACTGTTCGGTAGATATTCTTCTGTAAGCTTTAATCCCACAGCCCCTACAAGTATCCATAGCTAAGGTTAAGTGGAGCAGACAGCCACAATATTTGCAGGTGACAGTGGACGTGCTGTCCCCACCGCATGTGCATTTTGCAAATAGACCTCTTCTGCTGGAAACACAAACTACTTGCAATGAGAGTGATCCCAAAGTCCATGCAATACTGTACCAGAGGATTAAACTCTTCACTCTTCAGTACCTTCTTGTCAATCTGGGCTAATTTGGTTCTACTAAATTTCAGCCAGAGACTGCTCACATATTACAGGGCTGTTCGTCTTTTGACGAATGGCTCAGCTCTGTCTCACTGACATATTGCTAACTGAAGGCCAGTCTCTTCCATACCCCATATTATAGAAGGAATTTACCTTCAATCCCCAAATTAGTCAGCATGCATGCAAAAAAACCCAAACAAACCACCACCACCAAAAACCCAGCAAACCCTAAACAAACAAAAAACCCAACCAAACAAAAAACCCCCAAAAAAACAAAAACACAGAATGCCCTAAATAACAATAAAAAACCAACCAACCAACCAAAACCAAATAAGAAAAAACCCTCCAACAACAAAAAACCCAAAACAACAACAAGAAAAACCGAAGAAAACACAAAAAACTCCCCTTTTGCATTCTGAGTCAAGAGCATAAATGTCTTTGAGGCCTTTATGAAAGTCCCTTAACCTGTTTTAGGGTGACCACCTCACTCATATTCCCTTTGTTCTGCCACAGAAGATTCCTTGCTGATTTTTTTTTCCTGCAGTAATGAGGATCTGCAGTCATTGACCAGCACTGCTTCAAGACAGAGGTAATGCTCTGATGTACCTGGCATAGGTGACCTTTGCGCCTGAGGAGTGGTCAATGAGCTGTGCTACCATTGACCCACACAGTGCCCAGCACCTCACCAGAGTGAGCACAGCTGGCCTGCCATGACCACAGCTGGGCAGGGATGCCCTCTCACTGACACGGGGGCTGCCAAGCAATTTTTCTGCAGGTCCCATTAGGTCTGACCCCCTTCCTGCTTGTGCCCCCCATCCCCTCATGTGAGCAGTGGGAGCTGCTGGTGGCACCAGGGCACCATCCTCCCCAGGGACGCTGGGACTGAAGGGACGGACGAGGGAGCTGCTGAACGGTCGGTGAGGCTGAGGGGCCGGTGGGTGGCTGAGGAGGCTGAGAGGTAGCTCAGGGGGATGGTGGAGGCTGGGGGCTGTGGGATGGCAGGGGCAGAAGGGAGGACTGAAGGGATTGAGGTGAGGGCTGGGGACACTGATGGTTGGCAAGGGGCTGAGGGGACCAGGGAGGGGCTGAGGGCACTGGGGTGTGGCCTGAGGGCACTGAGGGGACTGCAGGGAACTGATGACATAAATACTCAAAAGGAATATTGTTTGCAGTATTTCAACTGAAACAAGAGAAACTGAGACCCATTGGTTGAAGTTTCATAAACCATAAAAAAGTTTCCTGATCCAGGAGACAAATTGTTCAACCAAGCCAGCAGGACATGAACCAACTCTGGACTCACGTTCTCAGGCGACTTGTGACCGTGAAAGGATAAAGTGAGGTGGGCGCTATTCCCCAAATGACCACCAGAGACCCTCTTGAGACTATTCCCCAAACTGTATGAGGCATGCCCAATTATTAAGGCGTACAGCTTTATCTATGTAAATGAGTCCTGAGACAGGGGAGGAGAATTCCGGGAATTTAGATGAATGTATAGATGGTTTACCTAGATAAATGAAGCTTTGAAACGTCGAGTGCATGTGTTAGGAGTGATTCTTGATGAAATAAAGTAATGCCTGCCTTCTAATACTGAAATTAGTGTTAGAGAGTTTTATTCTTCCCGACATTTTGGTGACACTGGGGGCACTGGGGGGTGGGGTGGGGACACGGAGGACACTGATTGGGGGCACTGGGGTGATGGGTGAGGCTGAGGGGACCGGGGGCACTGAGGGCACCTGGGACTGCGGGACGGAGGCCGAGGGGCCCGGCGGGGCTGGGCCGGCGCCGGCACGAGCAGCCATCGTGCACCCGGCGCGTGCCGGGGCGCGGCGGTGGCGGAGCCGCCCTCGCGCGGCGGCCGTTGTCGTTGCCGGGGCGTTGGGCGCCCGCCCTCGCGTGTCGCGACAGTTGCCGACAGGCGCGATGGCGGAGCCGCTGCTGCCCGCTGGCTTCCGCTCCGGCTCCACAGCCTTCTGGCCTTGCCTCTTTCCCGCTGCCTCCCGGCCCTGCACCTTTCCCGCCAAGCTGTGGCTGCTGGTGAATAACCCCCGCGTCCGCTCCGTGCGCTGGGATGCCCGCGGCGAGGGGCTGTTCATCGACCAGGCGCTCTTCGAGCGGGAGCTGCTGGGCGGGGGGCCCGGCGCTGCCGGGGAGGCGGAGGTCTTCAAAACCAAGAACTTCGGCAGCATCATCCGCCAGCTTAACCTGTACGGGTTCCACAAGCTGACGATGGGGCCGGCTGGTCCCGCGCTGGGGCACAGGCTGGGGCCCAGGCTGGGGCCGGCCGCGGCGGGGGACAGTCCCGACAGCCCCGATGGGCCCCGGCACCACTTCTGGAACCCCCACTTTCGCCACAACCGCCCCGACCTCCTGGTGAGGATCAAGAGACTCACGAAGGCCAATAAGGAGAAGCTGGACGCTGGCCTGAAAGTGCCCAGCCGCCTGCTCGACGACTTGCAGCACATTGTTGGGAAGGGGCTTGTTCCTGTCGCCCTCGACCCTCGGCGAGGCCAACGGGAGCGGTGAGACCGGGCGAGTCACCGGGGCGCGGTGGGTGAGAGGGTGGCATGGGCTTACGAAATCGGCACTGCCCTGGGGGAAAGGGCTTGCCCTTGCTGCTGGCTGCTTAGTTCACATGGTGTAGGAAAAATGTCGCTCTTACAGGAGGTTGAGCTGCTGCCAGTAAGCAAAAGGGAATGTAATTATAGATTCCTACAAATGCACTGCCTATATATATACACAAATATCAATATATCTATCTGAATATCCAAATAGCTATAGCTGTATATCTCACAGGTTCTGTTTCTATTATCTGAAATAAATGACATGGTTCATGTGTGTTTCAGTGTGCCCATAGACTACAGCACCAGCAGGGACCTAAAACTAATATACATGCCAAATTGTCGCTAGATAAAAGGTGCAACATGCATCCTTCGGTATGTTTAAAATCTTTTTTTTTTTTTTTTCAAAAAAAGTTGCCCAAAGCAGCACAAGTTCCTTGTGCCTTGAAAAAGAAAAGAGGCCAGTCAAAAGAAAATTCTGCAACAGTTCTGCTTTTTGCATCTTGTATTTTCAGCTGTGGGAAACTGTATACAACATAGAGAAGAATGGAAAGGAGAAAGGAAGACTTTGAGATCTACTTTAGGAAGACACTAGTTTTCAACGAACTCAAAACAAATTCAGGAAAAAAGTTTAAAGAAAAGTCATGAGTTATCTCAATAAAAATGTTGCGTAATGCAATATGCTAAGAGCTATTATTCAACACATACTGGTTTTCTAAAATTTAAATTGTTAAGTAACTAGGCTAACATGTGGCCTGCCTTAAGTATCGGAAAGACTATTTTCAGCTTTCATCCAAGGAAAAGTTCCCCAGCCCAGGATGCGACACATGGTAACACAGTTACCTGACCCAGCACTGGGATGGCTGAGGATGGGCTGAGACTGATGTGACATTGGTGCCCTGCGCTGGCACAACAGGGGGAAACAGATGAGGCAGTCCACAAGATTTTCCTGATCTTGGAATGGGAATGAGCTCAGAGAGCCAAAAGAGTTTTTGTAAAGCTTGTGCAAAAGGCTGTGTGTGATTCACATCTTCAAGGGAGCTGTTTCTCTGAAATATGTACGGACTGGCTGCAGCCAGCATCGCCTCACTGCTCCACACAGGTAGACAGTTCCTACCCAAAGTCCTCAGTCCATGTTGTCGTCTCTCTCTGCTAAGACCGTATCATGATAGTGAGGAGCAAATGAAACTAAGTAAGCCCCTCAGACCTGTAAGGCTTTTGTTAGAGGCTTAGGTACAATAGCCAAACAGGCACTTAATTCACAGGCATGACATGTCCTTCCATGAGTTTGCAAATCACTGAGTCCTGATGTTACCTAAGGGTGCCGTGGGTCCTCCAGATCTCACAATTGTTGTGCCAGACTCAGAAGGAAAAGCTGGGGCGAATTATATAAAATTAATGTGTTCATGGCAGATACTGTTAGAGAAGATTCTATGGCTTGTATGATTCTGTATGGGGTTTAGACTAGATGATCATAATGCTGATTTCTGGGCTCAGCTCCCGTGAATTAGAGCCAAAAACTACATGGATGAGGTTCTTTAAATACAGCTTGAGGAGTCTGTTTAGAAGTCTTGTTGCAACAGAGTTCATCAGTTGTAAGTCACTGACCTGTTTTTTTCTTTCATTCTGGATGTTCTCATAGTGGACATAAATGAAAAACTTTTAACCAACACCATCTTTCTACCTTCTGCCTGGTGTGTCCATGGCAACCCCCTGTGTGAGGAAGATGAACGAATGAAATTATCATGAACCATAGTTACGTGCATCTGACATGGTGAGGCATTTTAAATACCTCAAACACACATTTCTCTTCTGTGGGAGGTACTCATACCTTAATTGTACTTAATGCAGACATATATTCTAAGGCAAAGGGAAGGAATTGGGAGGGTTCTGTGTCAGCCAAGCTTTTAAAAAGCACACCAAAACAACAACCCAAGCACACCAACAACTGTGAAAATTGCATGTCTGTATGTAGACAGAGGCATACCATGAACAGTTGATATAGCCAGAAAACTGTTGCCAACTTTTGCAAGTTTAGAAGACCCAAATATCTGAGAACATGAAACCTTCAGTTAATTTTTTTCACAGCATATTCTGAGTTGGAAGGGACCCATAAGGATCACTGAGTCCAACTCCTAAGTGAATGGCCCATACAGGGATCAAACCCACAATCTTGGCATTACTAACACCATGCTGTAACCAGCTGAGCTAATCTCAGGTTTTGCTTATCGATGGAGCAGTCATCGTGTTGCCCTGGAAACTAGTCTTCATTTAATCTGTATTCTGTATTTGAATTAAGATGTTTATAACCCCCAAACTAGCTACTGTACAGTCTACACTGTTTCAGGTTTTCCACCTCCCCGGACCAAGAATGGAAATGTAGGTAGCAAATGCATGTGGATAAAGGACTTGACACTTTGATAATCTCTGTGCAGGAAATTTCCAGTGGCCAAGATGATGTGTGGTCATATTTTCTCTCTGGAAAAGAAGTGGAAGTTGGATGAGCAACACCACAGAAAGACAAGGGAGGTTGGGAGAACCTTGTCAGGCTTGCAAAGGAAGAATCAGGGACATACCCACACATCACACTATGAAGAAGCAGAAGCAAAACTCACACCTGGATGTCTGTCACAGGCAAGGCTGCTTAATTTAGACAAAGGTGCCAGCAGGGATGAGAGAAACATGAAGGAACATTCTTAAGTGCCAGCAAAGAAGTTGGTTATATACTCTGACTTACGGAATAGTCTGTCCCTGACCTGACCAGCTGTCTGCTGCAGGTCCATGCATCACGGTCAGACTTAGAGCAGAGAGAGCATTGTCTCAGTGACATTTTGGCTCTACTTGAAGTCAGTGGCCAAAATACTACAAACCTCAAAAAGGTTAATTCTCACCTTCAATCTGTAAACCATCTATAAGCCATTTATAAAATACAACTTCTTAAATTGTTGGACTGCCTTTAGTGCTTTCACTGCCATGTCTGCATGGCATCAATAAAAACACCATGGAATCCAGCTGATGGAAGGAATATAACTGTGTTATAGTATAACTGCTGACAAAAGGAATGTAAACTTCCCCAAGATCTGATTGTCCCACTCTAGAATAAATAAAGCATAATGGCACTGTCATCTTTGTTTTTTTTCCTGAAATGTAAAAATCACAACAGCAGTTTTGTTTCTGTAGAACACACTTGGAATTCCACACTTGGAATTCCAAATGTTCATTAGCTTTAAATCACTTCTTAGAAGCAGCCACACTAGAACACTGCC